ATGGGGTGGATGTGTGAGGTAGGAATACGTCAAAACAAGATCTACATTGAAATGTTGAATCCAGTTTGAACAGTGGCTACAGAGTAGATCAGAATATAATTTTTAAAATTCTGTACAAAATCCTCCTACCAACATTTATGCTTTTTTTCTTAAAGCCCCACTGTACTACTTGTAGGTACTTGCTCCCTCTATAAAGAAAACGATGCCTAATCAGTGACCATTGGTTCCCCACGATCCTAATTGAGACCTGAGTTGATGAGATAGCCACCTGTCAATGACCACTCTGGGTGGTCCAATCCCTCCTGGCCAAACTAGTACAGACAGGCTTTGAGGCCTAAAATTTTCTTTAAAATTAGGCCTAATACTTGGAAGAAAATAAAAATCACCAAGAGCTCTACTTTCAATGACAAATGAATAAAAAGTTAAATGCAGCGTACAGTTTTGTAGTATTAAAAAAAGAAATGCAAAACCGAGCACATTGGAAAAGATTGAATGATGCTGAATTAAACAGAATAATAGAAATCCAGGTTACAAACTGAAGGAAACAATCGTCTCCATGGTAACAATCTGCATTTGCACTTAGCTGCTTTAATAGGGTCATTCCATCCCTGGGTTATTGTGCCTCTTTTGCAACATGGTGTATTTTTAGAACGTACGTGTAGGCTGCGTAATGTGCAGAAAAATGGAATAGAATTTTATTGCTTTGATGTATGAAATGGTCTTTAGCCTTTTAGGCTTTGCGTAAATGTCAACATGTAAAACCAGCTGTACCATTTCTCTGTGTGGCTTACGTGATGAGGAGTGTGTGGGTATGAACATGTATAGGACTCGGAGCTAATGCAGTGTATTTAAATAGAGGCACCTGTAGTGTAATATTGGGTAAAAACATTGATAAAAAAGGGGAATTTACATTTTTTATTACATTTAGTTGACCAATCGTCGTGGTAGTATTTACCTTTTGTAGTTGAATAATAATAAGCATGTTTGTTTAGCCAAACAGATTTCCGGGTGTTTCAAAAGAGAATTCAGCCTTTAAAAAAAATTTAACCTCCAAGTAATTCTGAAAAATGTTGTTTCATGTATTCTTATAATAATAATAATAATACTCAGTTTTTATATAGCGCTTATTAGAATCACTATTTATTTATTTATTACTTATTATTTATTTTTGTTATATATATATTTTTTTTGGGGGGGGGGGTAGGCGGGGGCTTTATGTTCATTCTTACGATTTTCTCCGATGTGAAGACGGAAAGGTTTAATATGTCTGTATTCGTTGCTATTCTCGATTTTGCAGTACTTACCAATCATCTCTTTTTAAAATTGAATTTAAAATTAGCTTTGTTACATGCACTTGAACTTAAATGAATATTTGAGATGTGGGAAAGGAAATTAATGAAGGATACTGTTCACAAACACATGGGCTAATGATTCTCTAGTTCAGTGCAGTTCATTATTTGTATAACTATTGAGTCAAACAAATATTTAAAAACTAAAAATTGTGTGCCATATGAGGTGAATAAACTTTTCAGAATGACATAAAACCACATGTTTTGTAATTGTGCGAACATGTTTTCATGTTTCAAGTAGATTCCATATTGCTCTTTATGATATAAAGACTCTGTCTCCACATGTGTGAAACATCCATCATTCATGTGCCGGAGGATGTTGTATATAGCCTTTATAGGTCATACATGTTAAATGTGTGATGTGAGACACATTAGCCTCTTTTCCCATCACCACTCAACCATGGAACAATTATAGCCTGCTTTCAGTCTTTCAAACATTATTATTTTAATCTGCATGTATTTTAGGATTACAGTAGACCTGTGTCGTCTCTTCAGATGTATAGAAAAGATTCCACATTTTACCCATGTATTACGAAAAGATGCATCTGACTGAAATATCAAAAATATCATGATTAATGTTCAGATTTGGACAGTATAGATTTAAGAGAAAACAAGAAATTTAAATGTCAAAGTCTGGAAGGAGATTAATTGCAACCATATGGAAAGCAGCGCACAGTGACCGAATCTGACACACAGCAGATTGAAGAACAGTAGCTATAGATGGATGTTCTCAGTGCTGTTTGTATACAGTCTTCCGTATTTGCCAGTGGTTGAGCGTTAAATGTCAGTTACATGGACGTTGAAGTGCAGGTACTGACAGCGCATTGTTGTTAATCTGGTTTTCACTTGAATTGAGCCAATTTGTGTGAAGAAAGATCAACTGATCAAGTATTTCAGGCCTGATAATTACCCGATTTAAATCGGTTTCCTGATTTTTTGATATTTTCCTGATTTTTGTTTTTCCTTCTTGATATTACCCCGATCTTTCTGTTATTTTCCGTTATTTTCCCAATTTTCCCCCAATTTTCTTACTCAAAAGGAGGGGGGAGGGATTTTGTTTGATGCAGTTTTTTTTTAGTGCTCACTGTTACCCCTAGTATTTAACATTTGGTAATTTTTGGTAACACCTTGTCCCAGACTCTCCGACTTTAGCATATTTTCACAAAGAATAATTTTCCAGATTTCGAAATGACAGGGTATTCATAATGGGTAACAGCTATGGTATTTATCACTGATGCCGTCACATATTAAGCGAATAAGATATGAAAAATAAACACCTGAAACCACACAACTTAATTATCTTCTGATTTCTTCTCTTTTTAGAATTCCTTGTGCTCTGAGTATGTGATTTTAAAAAAGGATACAATATTTCTTGACATTTTGTAAAAAATTATCTTGTGTGAAGGGTTGTATAAAAGCAAACATGACTGCTATCAAAGATGGAATGTGTTGTTTCATGGTACAGTGTACATGTATGCTAGCTCAGTGACAAAGGTCAAAGTACTTGGCAAGAAGAATCACTCAAAGATATTTAATGAGATATAGATGTGTAAACAATCTGTTTTATCAAGTATCGGGACTTGATCTAGTGTAATTTTTGTATTGAGAGATCTATAATGTTATCTTAATGGACAAGAGTTCACAATACGAATATGTTATGATGATATGATGTACATGTAGCTATTATAGATTTGCTTAATGTACTGTTGACTTTGATTTTTACTCTTCCCACCAATCCCCACATTTGTTATCAAATTTTCATTCATCATTAAAGGAGTGATCGTTTGTGTAAATTGTGTTATACAATTTTTTATATAAAAGCAACAGCTACCTGTATGTACTAATAAATGGGTTTGTTCCCTTCAGAATTTTATGAGGAATGGAATTTTTGGGGCTCAAAATGAAATATAAAAGGGCTACTTGTCCATAGGCTTGGCACATTCTTGTATATGACCAAACTGCCATATTAGTGTATTTAAAATCAGGTCTTGGCTTACAATAAATAACATTTTTAGTTGTTAGTTATTTATGTTTTTATAACGGTCCTACAAGTATTTATCAATTTTATGCCTCCGCCACCGAAGGTGGTGCCGGAGGCATCATGTTTTCGGGTTGTCCGTCCGTACGTCCATCCCGTTTGACCGTTATCACAATATCTCAAGAACCATTTAAGATTTAAACTTAAGACTCGGGAATAGTATTTATCACCATAGGAAGACGATCTGATTAGATTTTGGAGTATGTAGGTCAAAGGTCACAGGTCACAGAGGTCAACTTATGAAATTCCTTGTATTGAGTTTGTTAGCGCGATATCTCAAGAACCATTTGAGATTTAAACTTCAAACTTAAGGATAGTATGTATCACCATAGGAAGACGATCTGATTAGATTTTGGAGCACGTATGTCAATGGTCAAAGGTCACAGAGGTCAACTTATGAAATTCCATACATTGAGATTGTTATCATGATATCTCAAGAACCACTGGAGATTTAAACTTCAAACTTAGTGATAGTGTGTATCACTATAGGAAAACAATCTGATTACATTTTGGAGCACGTAGGTCAAAGGTCAAGGGTCATAGAGGTCAACTTATGAAATTCCATACATTGAGATTGTTATCATGATATCTCAAGAACCACTGGAGATGTAAAAACTTCAAACTTAAGGATAGTATGTATCACCATAGGAAGACGATCTGATTAGATTTTGGAGCACGTAGGTCAAAGGTCAAGGGTCACAGAGGTCAACTTATGAAATTCCATACATTGAGATCGTTATAATATCTCAAGAACCACTGGAGATTTAAACTTCAAACTTAATGATAGTGTGTATCACCATAGGAAGACAATCTGATTAGATTTTGGAGCACGTAGGTCAAAGGTCAAGGGTCACAGAGGTCAACTTATGAAATTCCGTACATTGAGATCGTTATCGCGATATCTCAAGAACCACTGGAGAATTTTCACTTCAAACTTAATGATAGTATGTATCACCATATCATAATATCTCAAGAACCACTGGAGATTTAAACTTCAAACTTAATGATAGTGTGTATCACCATAGGAAGACAATCTGATTAGATTTTGGAGCACGTAGGTCAAAGGTCAAGGGTCACAGAGGTCAACTTATGAAATTCCATACATTGAGATTGTTATCATGATATCTCAAGAACCACTGGAGATTTAAACTCCAAACTTGTTTAAATTGCTCTATGGCGGAGGCATCATTTTCGACTGCGCGCAGTCAAAATTCCATCTAGTTACAAGTAGTCATGATAGCAGTAGAATTGTTGAATGGGTTAGCAAAACCATCCTTGAATGTTTAAAGAAGAATGACAAATATTTATCTTGAAAAGAGAAAAAAAAAATTATAAAGAACTTCACCAGGGTATGAATATATTCATAAGTGGAGGAGTAATTTCACAGGAATCCCGGGAGATTATATCATTCTCCATGACTTTATGGACTGAATTTTCAACATGTGTTATCAAAGATTAAATAGTGCTTTCAAATTAAATGGAAAACTCACTATAGATCCCCCTTGTCACTCTCTTTGCCGCCTACCCAGTGATATTTAATCCTTCGGAATAAAACTGCATGAAGCATACTGATTGTCTCTATTTCGTCCTTTCTTGTTCTTTTCCATTCTAAGCAGGAAAGAGGATTTTCAGCATGACCCCACCGGGCGAACAGGGAGAGAAGACTCAAACTGAAATAGTGGAATATACCAAGTAAGTGCCTTCCTACTATGAATATTGACAAATTGACATCAATGTTTTGTTTTTAGGATTGTATTTCTAATAAAAGCGGAGGAAAAGAGAAGACAAAGGAAAAGGATGCATAAGTTACGACATGTTTCTTTTATTGTTGTTGTTGCAGGGAAACCAATAACAAGAACAACATTGTGGTTTGTTTCTGTTTTGTACATACACAACAACAAAATATGTATTTTAATTTTTTCTCCAAGAGAACGTACTGTTTAAATTACAGTAAAAGCGGTGGAAAAGAGAAGACAATTGAAGAGAATAAATAAGTTAGAATAAATAAGTTACGATATGTTTCTTTTCTTGTTGTCGTTGCAGGGAAACCAATAAACAACAACACCATTGTGATTTGTTTCTGTTATGTACATATTTATACCAAAACAAATTAATACATATATGATCTCCAAGAGAACACACAGCCTTAAAGCTTATGGCTACTTGAAACCACTTCCATATCTAAGCCTTGTGTCTCATTTCCCCCTTTTTGTATACAGACAATTGTCAGCCTTGCCTCCGCATATACTCCAGTGTGACCATGTGATACAGTTCTTCTGCTCTAACGTGTGCGATGGCAATAGCTGTGGTATGCAACAAGACGCCAGCCATCATCGCTGTATGTCTCCCACAGCCCCACCTGCTGGTGAGTACTTAAGGAGAATGTTGAGTTCTGGGAAGAGGTGAAAAATAATTTGTGAGCGTTATCATTGTTATTATGGAAGTGTGGAAGAACATCAGAGGAAAAATGTTCCTTGAAAAGCATGACTCTTCAAATGCCTTAATATTCTAAATATGGCATGTAACATTTTTTATGCCACATGTTTGTGTAGTCCCATATACATATTTCAGTATACAGTTCTTGTTACTTTTATCAAGACTGGGCCAAATTTCTTAACATTTTGATCACTCCAGAACCTAACAGTACACACATCGTTTCTTTCACAATACAATCGCATGACCAGAACTCAACTTTATCTTTAAACCTTGTTAAATAAGCTGATACTCATGTTGGACTCCTGGTGGTAGCAAAGGGATATGGGTACTAGTCATGTAATTTTTATTTTGAAAGAAACTTTAGAATGGATGTCATTTTGAGTAATTTGGTTATCTTGTACATATCTAATATTTTGTATGGGGGAGTTTTAAATTTTATTGGAAGTCGCAATAAATAAAAGGACTGGACATCCTTTCCATGGGACTTTAATTACATAATATTACAAAGCATTACCTTACCAATTGTTTTCACCTATTCCAGATCTAAACCTTTATATCAGCCTGTATGTTGGGATTTTGATCACAGGAGGAGACAAATCATTTTTTTTTAAGATGAGAGGTTGTGTGACAATCTGACAATGCGTTTGGACTGAAACTAAGCATTGCTATCATGGCCCAGGATAGAACCCTGAGTCATTGTATAGGCACACCAGAGAGCTGACCAATGGTCCTACTCACATCTATATGTGTCAACTTCTTCATTTGTTAGTCATGTTGATGATATATGTTCATTTATTTTTGTAAACAGATAAACCAAAGCCACCCCTTCCAGCGGTCCAGCTGCCAGCCCTGGTGCCCAACCCGGCTGAACTCAACAAGCAGCTAGAGCAGTTTGCAGCCGGTATGAACAAGACACAGGTGTTTCCCACCGCCGCCTTGGCTCAGATGCAGCAATCTATCCAACCACACTCCATGCAACAAGTGCTACAACACCAGCAACAACCGTCCATTCACTTACGACATCCACAGCCGCAGCAGTTCCCCAACGTGCACATACAGCAGCAGCATCAGCAGCAGCAGCATCAGCAATCCCAACATATTAAGGGTCACGTCTCACCGCACCCTCACCTCTCGCCGCAACACCCCCACATGCAGATGCAGTCCCATGCCCATATACAGTTGCAGCAACAGCAGCAACAACAGCAACAAGTCCAGCAACAGCAGCAGCACCATCACCACCATCCGCAGTTGCTCAGCCCCGGTAACCCCCAGTTGCAGCAACAACAAGTACCACCCCCACCACAACAACAGCAACTACACCAACCACCGCCACCTGGCACGCCAACTCACAACCTCACTGCCTCCGTCAATCAACTCCACATCTCACAACACCACCACCAAGTCAACCTTCCCGCGTCAGTGCAAGCTCACAATGGCAGCGGCCCTAACAGTGAAGGCGCAACCAACAATACAAACGGTGGTGGCGGCAACATGTCTATGCCTTCCAACAACAACTCAATGGTAACTGCGACAGTGACGACCACCAGTGCTGGCAACAACTCTGTGTACTATCAGACTGTGTCTAGTATGGTCTTCATTCCTACTCCTTCAGAGCAGTACACAAATGCAGGAAGCAACTCAGGTAAATATTGATATTGTCAAGAGGGCTTGCAAGTAACTCTAGCCATAGAAAAGACATGCCAGCAGAAATTCTCTGATAGTTATAAAGATTGAATGAAATGATGGACTTTGACAATTTTTATCGTAATGTCTTGTTCCCTTTAAATTACAAATGTAATAGATATCATCATCAATTGAATACCTGTTTCTATTGAATGAATGCATTGTAGTTTTGTTATGGCTTTGAGCCTCGTGAAGATGTGTCACGGTACTCCGCTGTGTTATCTTTTTAAGATGAGATAAGTATAATATGCTTTACCCTTCTGTATCTTTTAACACAGAGCAAAGTTAAAATGCATAGGACCTTTGTTGTGCACATTTGTCATTCACTTAAATATTGTTCTTTTAATGTCACAGTTAAACGAGGCATATGTTAACAAGTCTTTAATTAAGTGCTATTTCTCAGTCTATGATGTGAATCTACTTTGAACTTTATTGGGGAATCTATCATAACAAATCTTAAAAGGGAAAAAAATACATGGGGGCTCGGGGCAAAGTAGCCCCCGAGATGCCAAAAAGAGCCCCTAAAAGTCATAAAAGAGCCCCCCAAAATTGCATAGAGTTCAATGCAAAACAAAATAAAGAGTGTTATTTTCATGCAAGCAAGCTTGAAAGTAGCCCCCAAAATGTTTTAAGTATTTTTTTTCCTGAATCTTAATTACTGTTGCATATCTGTTTCTTCCCAGATCCTGTAGCTGTGTCGCAGCAGTCCTATAAATCAGTGCAACCAAAGCCCCCACAGAATTGGTAAGAATCCAGGAATAAATATTGGTGCCAGGTCCGGGGCTTTAGAATTAAATCTCACAACTCACTAGTTGATACAGGTTGTCATTAAAATACAACATATCTAAGGAAAATAAGTACTGTAGCCTTGACATAGTAATGATTTTAATAGTTTATTTTTACATTATGTGAACCAAAGGTTAATCTCATTCTACACAATTTACTGACTTTCCCTATTCCTTCTACGACCTGGTTTTTTGTGATTTGGGAGCTGTATATGAGAGTTTTTTTCTTTTGTTTGTATTGACTTGCCATAAACAAATGTAAGTAGTTTTTTCTTTCTTCCTGTTTTATTGTTGTTTCTTCTTATTGATGTCCTTGACAAATGACTTGCTTATTGTTACAATATAAAACTATCAAAATGAGAAAAATATTCCTGTAACTATTTCTCCTTGTAGGCCTCAGTCATTCACCCCACCAGGGAACCCTCCCACCCACACCGCTTCGCTGTACGCCTCGGCACCGTCCACCACCCACGTGTGCATCTCGCCCCTCCAGTCCCCCATCTTCCGGTATCCAGTACCCCTGAACTCCCCCCAGGCTGGCCTGGTACCCTCGGGTAGGGACGCGGTTGCCCCCATCATCCATGAGTGGCTCAAGAAGCAGCGGCTCCACAAGTATGCCTACCTCTTTGAAGGGATGAGCTTTGATCAGGTAACTATCTATAGGAACCACGTGGAGGGGTCAGTGACACAAAGACGCAACTCTATTTTGGCCATTTTGAGAAAAAGTGGTTTATGTGTCACTGTGCGCTTGGGCCTTAAGGAGTTAAGTCTATGTTTCTCTAGTAATTGACTTCAATGAGGTGTTCGGTGGAGTTAAGTCTTTTTGTTTCGTGGAAAGCCTACATTTTTCTGAACATTTTGATATCAAATACTCCTTTTGGCAAATTATGGAGTTACATGTTTGTGTAACTTGAAGCGTTCTCTTACCTTTGTGCTAGTGATGAAAAACAATAGTAGATAGTTATTTTATGAAAGAATGATCGCAGGATGATTTAAAAGTGTAGAGGATCGTAGGACAATTAATCTGCGGGCTATAACCCCTAAGCTAAGAACAACTACTGCCTAAGTGTAGTACCTCCTATGTAGGTGTTGGAGATACTTGGACTATTTGATAAGGGCTTGTTGTCCGGGGGGGGGGGGGGGGGTCCTAACTTGATTTGAGAGAAATTAAAATAAAAAAATTATAAATTTAGTTACTAACAGTAGTCTTTGGGATATTTCATTTTGTGCATTAATGATTGACTAATAATAAATAAATGCATGATTCTAGTGGGATTGCAGAATTGGTTTTAAAATTTTCTCTCTCTTTCTCTATCTTTCTCTCTCTCTCATCTTTCGTGATTAAACAGCATATATGGAGAAAGAAGAAAAAAAACTAAGATAGTGCCAAAACTTTTGCCTTTCCTGGATAAAAATGTCTCTTTCAGTAGCCATACAATAAGAGCGGAGGTATAAGCTGTGAAATTAACCAATTCTCTCTTGCTATGACTTGTTATATTTATTTCTAGGTGCTAAAACTTTCTGATGAACAGATTGATCGTTGGAATATTGTCAAAGGTGCAAAAGGACGTATCAAGACCCAACTAGAACAACTGAGGTAACATCTCCATTTTCTTTATTTAGTAAATATCTGCCTATGGAACTATTCACCCCTTTGTTCTATGTTTGCACCGTAATGAATGCGCAGATAGTTTTAGATTTAGACAGTAGGTACATTACATATATCTTATACATATGTGCTTGTGAAAAGTATACTTAGTTACTGAATTTCTGACCCTACTTTGGCTGTAAAATTTATTACTTGTTTCTGATAGATCTATACAGACAAATATGCGAACAAATTTTAACGTGCACTGCCTAATCATGCTTGCGGTAAAGCGATCATGTCTGCATGATGTCAGACATTGAGAACTCTACCATCCACTGTGTTTACTCTGAAATAGGCCTTTTCTAAATTCTCAAAATAGAACATTCTTTACACAGGAGAAAGAAAAAAACAGATACATTATCTGAAGAATTGAAGAAAAGGTCATTTATTTTTCTGCTTTTACCTCTTGGGTCAGTTGTATGTATTGGGTTTATTCCCTTTTAAGAACTGATTTCTTGATCATTGTTAATCGTGTTAATAAGGTTCATTCTTGTGTTAACATCCCACATCATTTAACTGTGGTCTTAACAGTACCCCTTGTTCTTTTCCATTAGAAAAAATGACCTGCATCTGTACAATGGGCTGAGCCCTCAAGCCATGGGGATGCACCCCAACATGGGGGTCACCCATGGTTTCTTCATGCCCCCTCCACCGCCTGGGTCTGCCGGCACCATGATGCCGCACATGGCTGCAGCTCACATCTTAAGCCTACAACAGCAGCACCAGCAGCCTGGAGAGCTCACCAGTTCGGAGTGCTCCTCACCGCCTTCCAGCCCCAGAGACAGCTCGGATGAAAACGATCGAGGTAGGTAGTTGATTGGAGTGTTACTGGACCATGAGACTACCAGGGGCAAGTATCACAGAGATCCTAATTTGAACTTATCTCTAAGTTGGACTTAAAACAATTATGGAAAGCTGTTGGCATCTATGAAAATGTTTTGTAAAAGTTAATTAAAAAAAAAAAAATTTGATTTAAATATTTCATATTTTCTATTATCATGGAGGTTTTATGTTCTTGACATGAAATTTATGAAAAGTCTAAAGTACTTCAATTTTCGCTTTTGAATATATTGTATTTTAAGGCTACAAGTGGTTCTCCATAATGTTTAAGTCTAACTTGGAGTTGAGTTCATCTTAAGATCTTTGTGGAACACCCCCAGCTCCTTGTGTAATGTGCACTTATCTAACCCAAAGAGATGCTCCAGGTACCTACAAAGTACTATCCAGGGCAGGCTTTAGCTGAGTTGTAGGCATTCAAGAGATTCTTCCTACGTGGTGTCCACTTACCTCACCTCGGTTGAGAAAGACAAGTACAGATTAATGCCTTGTCCAAAGACATTAGTGCCAAGGCTGAGACTCCATATAGGAATTTTTAGACCAACAGTCTGTCAAAATATAAGTTATACCATGACGTTTGTGCTCAAAATAAACATGAACAGATGATACGTTGATGGATTAATCATACTTTCATAAATACTTTCTCGTCTTTTTTTCCTTTCTTTCTTTTTTAACACCAGATTCTGAAGAAAGTGAAAGTTCTGCTACGTCGTGTGCTGAGACTCTCCAGAATCAAGCCATGGGGAAAGAAAAACCTGCTGGTATGCAGTCACCTCAAAGCAGCCCCAGGGAGCAAGTGGCCATGATCCGCAACCAGCCATCAGCTACATCTCTCCCCTACAGCCAGGTGGTCAAGTCTGTAGGTGTAGATGCTGGCAGGCAAGGTGACAGGTCTCCGATTCCTCCTGGAGATCTACGACAGGTCGCTGTTATACCTCAGGCTGGGACTCTCATAAGTCCCATGCAGCAACAGCAACAGCAACCCACCAACAACGACCCACAGCAGCAACTTCAGCTGCAGCTTCTGCCACAGAAACCCCACATGCAGCAGCAACCGCCACAACAAATGCAGCCGAGGATGAATGCCATGCCGTCCCAGCCTCTGCAACCCACGGTGGTGATGGGAAAGCAGCTGCCGCAGGTTGTTAGTCCTGATGGTAGCTCTGGACAGCTGCACCAGTTGGACAGTCCCGTAATAGCAGGTGCAGCCTTCACGCCACACATGTTCCATATCAAGCAGGGCAACAACAAACAAAGCGTTCACACAGTGCAGTACATACAAGGTGATGGGGAAGGTGGAGGGGCCTTCAGGACGTCTAAGGTGGTAGTGCAGCAGGCTGTTGGTGGAGCAAGGGGGTCCTTAGCTTCACCGTCCCCTCCTATACCTGCAGGAACCCTGCAGACAAGGAATGATATCCCCATGCCAGTCATGCCACAGCATCCACAGGCCAACCCTACCTCCAAGACTGTTCACAACCCTGGCCCTGTCCAGCTGATACCAAATCCCCTGCATTCCCTCACGCTACCAGCGACCGATGGCTACATAGCACCCACTTCAGTTACTTACGTTACCACGTCCAAGCAAAGCCTGGGGGTGAGTTCTGACAGCACACCTTGCAACAATAACCTAGCCAGTTACAACAGCTGCACATCATGTGGCTGCAATGGTCAGTGTGGTCAAGCCAACCATCATACTTCCACCATTGCACCCAGCAGTAACAGTAATGGCAACAGCAGTATCAGTAGCAGCAACAACATCAACCTGTCGTCATCCTCCTCCCACATGGTCCACTTTAACCATCCTGCAACATACATGGCCAGTCCCAACCAGCTCAACTTCCCCAACTTCTACCACCAGGGCAACATGATGCCTCCAGGAACCCCCAACAGCATGATGGGGAACCCCCCTCCGCCGCCCAACATGCCCCCCAGCAACGGCCCTCGATACCCCCCTCCCATGCCACCCTCGCCCCTCCAGGGTGCCTTGCAGGACATGATATATGGAGGGAACCCACAGTTTGGCATGATGCCACCTGGTGCTCAGATGTATCCCAGTGGACTTGGTATGGGCCATAGAGGCCATGGGATCCATGGTGGAGGGGGAGGAGGAGGAGGAGGGGGAGGGGGAGGTGGATCTAAGAAAGGACAGATGACCTGCTTCAACTGTGGTGGCCAGGGACATCGAGCCAGCGAATGCAGAGAAGCCACTATGGAGTCCATTACACATAATAGTGAGTAGTACTTGTTTGCTGTGCCTCTATTAATTTGCAAAAGACATTGAAATCCCATGAAATTCAGTCATATGTGTTGAACATTTAGGTCCCTAGTCTACTGATTCAGTTAAAACCTACCATGAATCTACATTTTTAACAAAAGGAAAACGTAGCCATCAGACTAACATTCTTTGTTAAACCTGATATTGAACCTCAACTCAGCATCGATTTCAAATTTAGTAGAATACTGGCCTTACAGATTAGAAAAGGTAATAAGTGTTACTTTTATGACACAATCTAATGAATCGTTCTGTATGTTTTCTCAATAGTTTGTGAATTCAGCACCGTCATTTTTTTCACTACTTGTATGGGAAGAAATGAAAAGTTTGCTGACACGTGTATGCAAGATCCCACCTACTATTGATTCCTTTAGATTCTATAATAGTCTTTCAATCAATGACATTAGATCCACTTAAAGCCCGTCTGCACTAGTTTGGCCAGGAGGATTAGACCTCCATGCAAGGTCACTGGCAGGTGGTTATCTCATCAAATCAGCTCTTAATTAACACAAGAAAAAGGGGACCATGGGGGACTGACGGGGCACCGATTAGGCATTGTTTGCGCAAGTGAGCGCAAGAGAGCGCAAGTGGCTATAAGTAGTGCAGTGGGGCTTTAAAGAACATTATAGCAGGAATAATCCCAATGTGAAATGCAGGATTTATTTCCTAAACACACCAGTCTTCTCTCTTGAAAATTCAGCTGTTATATTAACCTTTCATCCCCTTTTTAAACAAGGTGTTTTTGTATTGCTTCATTCATCACTCTACAGGTCACTACCGGCTGAATTACAAGTCGTCAACGTCCGACATAGGTGAGAATACATCTGATAGCTAACACAGGATCCACCAACCCTACCCTACCCCGGGTAACGATTCCTTCCAATGGATAGGTCGTCTTTGTGCTTTTCAGAATCCTCTGGACTTCTCCTAACCACCATTTTATCATGTCATGTCTTGCTCGAAGCAAGGGTACTTTTTTAAAACGCTGACGGAAGATTTTTTTTTGCCAGTAGTATTTATTTGTCTGTGCAGTATTCCACATGGCGAGTGTGAGAGCATTGCACCTCTGTTGACTTTTCTCGAGATATTCCTCGTACGTGGTAAAGATTTTTATTGGACAGTTCGAGAGATGATAGTTCGAGTGTGAGCAATATTATTTGAAAGGTGCAGATGATTCAGAGATTCATGCAAAGTTGATTAAGGTATCTGATTTTTTTTATTTTTATGAATTGATCTCTTCATTTTATAAAAGGAAACATCTTGAAAGAATCATGTCTAGTTCTTAGTGTTGAATATAAAAAGACTTATTTTTAGTGTATACTGTCTGTCAACAGACCTGGGCATTGTTAGATATAATTCCATTGTGTTGTTACTTTAAAGACCTGCACATTAAAAAAAGGCAGCCATGCAATATCATTGACAATCACTTTAATTTTCTTCTGTTATTTAAAAAAAAATCATCACCGGTATTGAAGACATGTCAGAAAAATCACTGTTGATATATCAAGATATTAAATTCAAATTTCATTTTTTTTAATTTGTTAAACGTAATCAAAAGACAATCATAGTGACCTGATACTGAAAGAGCCAGATGTTTTGGAGTTCATTATACTTCCACGTCTGAACACATGCATACATGTACATGTTATCTTTCATCATTGCTGCATCTACATTCAATCAAAACACCCTGTAATGAGAGTCGTTGCCAAATCTATTTGCATCTTTCGCAAGGAAATTTCGTATATTTTGTAATATGCCAGGCTTGAAATTACGGTTTGTACATTTTTCTATTATTAATATGAGCCATATTTGTTGGATTACTTGTACATTATAATGGCTATTAAAATGAAAATGGAACTCAATGTTTATACCAATACATGACCTATGACCTTTAAGCTCATTGATTTATAAAAAATAACTTAACAGTATTCATAGTCTTCTTATTCCAGAAAGAGGCTGTATTCGTATATATATTTGAAATAATGTATGTATCAGAAAAAGACAAATGAATGTAGGCACTGTCATATTATCCTGCGATTCTGACATCCCTAAAATTTGTGATATGATGACTTTCAGTTTCAACACCAGGGACCCGTTTCACAAAGCCTTTTTTCAATGACAAATGACAAAAATCAGTGATAAATCTGCTGCTAACCAATCAGAAGCAAGGATTTCAGTAGCTTATAACAAAAACTGTCATTTGGCACTGATGACAAGTTTTGTGAAACACCCCCCAGTTCAAGTGTGTGTCATTCTACTTAAATGTCGATATTTATGGGTATCAAGGCATATAGAGTGCTTGAATCTAGTTCTCAAAATGAACAGTTTTTATGAGGCGTGCAAGGTATGATTGTTTTTTCACTTTTGGTGATACTTTTGATCAAGACGGTTGAGGTTCCTGATGATACTTATGTTACAGCATTCTTCTGAGTACTTTCATAAAATGTGTCAAGAAATGTGTAATATGATTCAATGATTTGGAGGCATAAAAGGGCATTTCACTTTCTCTCTCCCTCTCTCTCTCTCTCTGGATCAACTCTGCATTATTGTGTTGGTCTTTTAAATACTAAACTCTGCTTCTAACTAGACTACTTCTAACCCATGTGGGGACAGGAGTTGTATTGTTTTGTAACAAAATTTACATCATCTGTTGAGGGCCCGTAAGGTTTTATCCAAAATTGTTATAACATGTATTTAAGTATCATGCCTTTTCGGTTCGTAAACACATATGATATGATTTGGTAGACTACAATAGCTGCCACAAAACTTTTTGAGCAAAATCATAAACTATCATTTCATGGAAGCTATCAATATTTACATCAATCTTTTGATAAATATTTTAGAAGTTATTATTATTATTATTATTATTAAGGAAGGATGTAATGTTTTTTTAATTATTATTTTTTAGTAATAGTATGGCAAGGGAAGGGGACTGTGAAAGTCCGGATCAGGCTTGCAGTAAGATGATAAATAATGAGTTTATACACCAAAAAGTGAAATTTAGAACAAAATGTAGGGTTAATTGTTTTGTGTTCTTAGAAGTGCCTTGCTGGGATTGAGTGCATGTTAGAAATCTCACATTCGCTTTGTATTTAATGGAGACACTAACAGGCACTTCATTACCAAGGAAACAAGACCTAGATGATATTTTTTAGTTCTTTACATCTCTTTGTATTGTAATATATGTAAATGTACAGACAGTTTTTATCTCTATTGTTACCTAAGAAATTAATAGAAAGTGATGAGTGTGGGGGCAAATATCACATCAAGTTTTATGTGTCATGCTATGCATGAATAACTTTAAAAAGCATGCATGTTGGTGCTTTGTATTGATGTCATTCGGAGAGTACTTTTGATAGTCTTGTCTTTTTTTTTGGTATGCAATACGCTGAAGGGAAGGAAAAAATCTTTAACACTTCAGCAATGTTGAATTGCAAACACTTAACTCTCAGTGGCCCGAATTCACCAAAGAGGTTTGTCGACAAACCTTGGTTTTCGTACGTCATATGACGCGTTTTACGCGTTTTTTACAAACCTGGTTTGTAAAGAACAAAAGGAGGTTTGGCGAAACAAAAGGAGGTTTGAGCTCAAACCTTGGTCTGAGCTCAAACCTTGCTTTGTGAATTCGGGTCATTATGTTTGTAAGGTATTTTCTCTATGTGACATTTTATTTTTGCTGTTCCATGTTTCAAGATGATTTCGAGCTCTGGGAATGGAATGGCATTTTGAGAGAAACTGACAATATTTCTTTTTCATGAATTGTTTTAATATCTTGCAGTAAAATGGTGCTTTGAACCTGCAAAATATATATATTTACAGAAAGTTCATCAAAAATCACAATTTACAATCAAAATTCTCACCTCTTGTACATATAGACCATATTTCAGGCACATGTATGGACAACCATATGTACCTCGATTTCCATATCTTTCTTTGCTTACGTTTTCTACTGAAACTTGTTCGCCGCAGGTCATTTATTTTTTCATCTTGAACACTTAGTGTAAGTCTTGTTCGATTCTGTGCGTTTTTTTTTCTCTTCTTTAATCTATGCCAGAATTCAAAGATTACCCAGTATATGCATACATTGAAGAGTATCGTCATATTGTGCTATATCCCTGCTCATCTCCCATACTCCTTTCACTCAATCCACCTGTTCTTTTTAGATAATTAATATTAAAATAATTTGTAAAGTTTAGAGACGAGTTTGACGCTCCTACTGCTCCAGTATGACTACCCCAACCTTAGCATGTCTGCAATTATGACACTGGAGCTATTAAAGTGGGACTGCACTACTTGTAGCTACTTGCGCCCTCTATATAGCAAACAATGACTAAGCATTTTTCTTATGCTAAATGCCCTAGTCCCAGAATGAAGTGAGGATTAGGTCCAACGTATAATTATTGCAACGCACTGTATCAGAGGGTTCTGCACACATTGGATATTACAGGTGTATAGGGGTTTTTGTTTTGTCACGTCCAGTAAAATTCACTTGGGTTTATTTTTTCAAGCTGATGTTGAGTTTAGGTAATGAATACATGTACTGAATTTTTTGAGAAAGTGGCTGAAAATATTGAAAGATGGGGGTTTTTTATCCCAGAAAATGTAATCAAATTTACTCAAAACTTGTTGTGAATTACTGGAAAGCACAAAACACATATTATGCAAGTATGAAACCATGTGTTTTATTGTTCAACACTCTTCTGAGATGACAATTCTGAGATGACAATCTCAATTTCCTTATCTTTCTATGCTTATTTCAGAGCTGTAATATAATTTCTGTCATTGTTTATTCTTTTTTTCTTTATATTCATTTGTAGTCTGTAAAAATTCAATGCAAGTTCGGTTTAAGTCTGTGAAATTTTCCATCATACCTAGATCTTACTAGACTCTATTACCTTTAATTTTCATACAGAAAAGGGGTGATGAGGGTGGGGTAATATATGTATTTGCTATTGAGTTGTTAATTCCCGTATTGGACACTGCCTTTAAACAAGAGCGATAGCTACTTCAACAACCCGTTACATGTTCTCATGGTATCATTTTATTTGCTTTGTATCGTATGCACAAAGACAAGATGAATACCAGCTTAAATTGGTGATCAGACATGTGGTCTGGCGACAATTGCTCCCGGCTTTCATCAAAAGTGGTGGATTAGAATGAGAGCTGCCATTTTATTTAAGGTTAAAGGGATTGGGTTTCTTTGCCTCAGATTCTAAATAAAATCCTGGATTTAGCTCATGCTGCAATCATAATTATGAACCTTTAGGTCAGTCAGAAATCCCGTGACTTTTACCAGCCAATCACCTGTCTGATTATCAAGATATTTGTGATTGGAATTAGAAATGTCACAAACTTTGCCATACAGTTTTTTTTATACCACACTACAGTCTATTGGGGAAAATGAGTATGGTTAAGCCGGTGACTCAAAGATTTTTACTTTCTTGAAGCACTTCATGATCATTTGGAAGCGCCATTTTTTGTAGGGCTTCAATACTACACCATATCACAGACACTGATAACACGTAGGACCATGCATCTCAGATTGGTAAAACTGGAAACATTGTTAAACAATGCCTGGTCAGGGTAAAGGTTAGGTGTACTGCTGGTCTAGGGTTGAGGTTAGGCATTTTGTTATTGTATTTCATTGACTGTGGAGCTATAGTCGCAGGAGCACGTGTCGTACAACCAATTACTCGTGTTCAATCAGTAAGTTAGTTTAGTTTATGGTGCTTCTACATGTATGTAGTCAACCATGCTTGAAAGAGTTTATGCAATTGTCGAGCAGTAAGAGTTACACTTTGTAAGTGTGTGAGGGATAAATTGGTTTTAATTGAGGGAAGCTGGGCATTTAGTGAGTCGGCAATGACATATTATCAGGTGCATTGTATGTAAGTATCAATGTTTGCTACGATGTCTTTGGCATGTATATTTTCAATTCAACTGTTGCTTTTTACTTCAAATGCTTGCTTCTTTCCTTTTCACTCCCAAGTCAATGAAGCGACACATGTATGCAATTCAGAGATTTGTTGGTGCCAAACTTAAGGTTCTTGATTACATGCTTTTTTCTAAGAACTTATTCAACCATTTTATTTAAACATTCCTTTGAGGGAGTTGTGTTTCAATTCTCTTCAGAAATATCCTAAGCAATCTAGAGCTGATAATTTATATGTTATATCCTTTGTGCAAATCTGTATTGATTTCTGAAAGCTGAATACTTAAAATGTTTAATCAATGTTCCTTCTTGCCGTCATTAGCTTGACTAACAGTATATTAAATGCAGAGTTCATTATTCCATCTTACCTTTTTGATGGGACACCCTGTAGCCCCTGAGATTGCTGTAGGAAGACTTGGATGAAGTGCAGTTTGTTATGCTTAATTGCATTCTATTAGCAGCTTAATTAGACTTCAAGTTTACCTGTCACTTGATAGAATGTTATTTCAGTAAGATTTGGGAAGGATTTAAGAACAGAAATGTATTCTTTATCTGAAGATATTGTAGCAGTGTGTGTTATTTGCAAACTAGATTCCTGTTTTTGAATTATTTATTGTTAATTTTTCCCCATTTGAGTTGTGATTTTGTCTACATCGGGAAAAGCTGGCACATGTATGGTGTCATTATTTCTGGTAATCACAATGGGAACTTGCTGTAGTGGGTGTTTGAAATATTATCAATGACAATCATGAAAATCTAATATTTTGACAGCTGAACGGATTATGTCAGCCTCCTGGGTTAGCCCGTACCTTTTTTTTGTTATAAAGTATTAATATTAAACTGTGCTGTAATTTATGTTAGTATACTTTGTAATGCACCCATGTATTCAATTGTAGGAAGTAGACGTAAGAAAGAAAGAAAAAACACATTGTCCCTTCTCTGTTTAGAGTACCTCATGAACAACAATCTAGCCTTATTTCTTTTTTTTAGATCATTCTACCAACCATTCTGTAAATTCTTTTATTCTGTTTTAATTTCTCACCACTTAAAATCCCAGGCAATTTGTTTTCCTCAAGAACTGAAGAAAACGATGCCAGGATTCAATCTGACCAACATCTAATCAAGCTGCATCTATTTGATTGTTTTTTTAATTTAAGTTTTGCATGATTTTTGCCCCTACCTTTGACACATCAACTTGTAGCAGACAACTGAACATAGATAGAACATCTCGATCTAATGCCAAACCAACCACTTGTACTTTTCTTTGACAATTCAATTCAGCTGTATTCTGGCCAAATATTTTATTTGTGTGATGTTTAATACTTAACGATACGTAAAAGTGTTATGATGAAGAACTAGAAACAGAGACAAAGCTATATATATTTTTGTTGTTGCTTATATTTGTGAAGAGAGTTTTAAAGAACAAACAATTTCTTGAAAAGGATGAAAATGGCAGTACTTCCGAAATGAAGGGCCGTGGGTGGAAGTGAGCTTTCTGAAATCACTGATATTCATTGCACTTATTCTTGCTCCGTGTATTATAATTTAACACAAGATTGTACATTGTAAATAGTATATAAGAAGTTACAAGGAAAAAAACTTGAAAAGTTGCGAGTGCTAGAGTAAGTGTGTGAGAGCGAGTGTGATCATTTGATGAATCTTGACACGTTTATTTTTCTGTTTGTTGCAGTAATTTTAAGTTGTCAAACCACATGTGAAGTATTTTTGTTGATGATGATGATGATGTGGATGATTTCATAACAAAGAACACTCGATCACTTTCAGGGTGGTTTATTTCATCTTGCAACAAACAAATTGAAGAAAAATATATAATTTTATCTTTGCCAGGTACCTGTACAGTGTATTTGTTTATTGATTGAGAAAAAAAATTAAACCAAAAAAAATAAAATAACGAGAATACTGCGTAGTGAGTCTCTTGTTTCTTTATTTGATGTCTTGTAAATGATGTCTAACATGGATAAGAAGTCTGAAAGGGTAATTAGCAAAGATGATAACACAAATTATAGACAGTTATGTATTATACTTATATTAATTTCGTTATTATTCTAATTAGTCAGATGGATGGTAATTAAAATTCATACAAGTTCCTTTAAAAGATTCATTTTTTATACATTTCACACCTAAAAAGAAAGGAAAAACGCAGTTGGCATTATACCTTTTCAATCATGACTACAATATCAATCTGCATATGCCATAGACAACGGTGGGGGGGGGGGGGGGGGGAGGTTGAGGGCATTGGTGTCGAGTGGGTGAGTCTTCAATATTACTAGGTAAATGATATGCCAGAGAATAAGGCCCTCTCTCTTGTTCATGCGATGGGCATATGCCCCTGTATCTACGCCACAGCAGCCCCCCCCCCCTCCCATCTCGAAAATAAAGAATACTCTATCCCGAAGGGGTAACTCTACATGCCTTTGAGTTTTAATGCTAACAAAATGTGTTAGAAATTAATGGAATTTATAATTATTTGAGTAAATAATATCAACATTTTCTCTACGATAAGTCAAAATAGGTCGGAAATGAAATGAAAAGATTGAACATGGGAGTATATTACTGTGTATCACACTTCAAATAGATGGAGAATGTTAATAAGGTAGTGGGATGTCGTCCGCAGAATTGACGAGAACCACGTGATCTACGGCATAGCTTGTGAGAGATGCCAAAGCGTCGTCATCATAGAATTCATTTGTCGGCAAGGCGTATACCTATAAGAAACGAGAATTAGGGAAAGATGAAAATTAATGATTAATTATTTTCTTATGTAGCTCAGCTACTATGAAAACGTAATCTTCAGCGCTTTCTACGATTAACACGCTTAACAAAGCATATTATTATCCTGGTCTCAGCAGAGCTACACGTAATATGATAAGGTGGTCAAGCATTTAAGGAATTTATTTCATACTGGGTACAAATGTATCTAACCCGGGTGGAGAGTGGCAACTGTATTCCAGTATGGCAAAATTAGATATTGATTAATTTTAACACTTGATGAATTCATAGCAAAATTTGGGGTTACATAAGAGTCTTCATTACTTCATTATCAAAAAAACACTTCACAACGTCTTTTTTTTCTTCTCTCTTTTACTTTTACATATCAGTAAAAACGGTATTGTAGAATGTTTGTTCATGTCTATAAATCAGGGCTCCGTTTTATAAAGAATTGATATCGATCGCAACAATGTACATAATAGATAGGAGACTGCAAACGTGCGATTGATTTGGATCAATTTCAACTCTATAAGCTAAACGAGGCCTGTAAAGTTTGAAAGCCTTAAGTATGTCTAGGCTAACTGTAAGGACAATCACGCAAGATTCGATGATACACTTCTTTAGTTTTTAGGTTCATTTACATTTTGTTAATACTAATGATATGTTGTTCTCCTGTTCCCCATAATCTACATGAACAAACCTCTATGCCTCTCTTCTGGAGCTTGGTCGCGCTGGACTCCGGGAAGTCATTGTCTGCGAACAGGCCGTCCGTCATGACATACAAGACCTGACGCGCGTTATTTCGGGAATGCGCGAAGATGTTGTTCATAGCGGTGCGCAGCGCCAGGCGAAGACGAGTTTCTCCACCTGATAATAAAAGAAGGGAAAAATACATTGAAATATCGGTTGATAAAAGTATACTTAAGTAGAGTTGGAAGTAGAGGTAAAAGGAGAAGGAGAAGGAGAATAAGAAGTAGCATCAGAACCCGTATCAGAAATAGGAGCAACACTTTGGAAACAGCTACGAGCAATATATTTAGTAGTATACATGAAGAAGCAGTAGGAATAGCAGATGAGGAAAGAGGAGGGGATGAGAAGGAGGAGGAAGAAAAAAAAAGATGAAGAAGAAGAGGACAACAAGAATGTGAAGAAGTAGAGGTTCAAGTTGAAGAAGAGATATTGGAAGAAGAATTGTTTCACGGTTTTAATCATAATATATATGGTTAAGTGCAACTTCCAAGTTCAAGTATTTTGTGTTTGGAAGGGTACTTAACTGCTCAAGCACAAAAAAATATTCATAATTTGTAATAGTTTTACTGACAAATAAGCCCAAAAGGAAAGGTTAAAGAGACTATTGCCCCCACTTTCAAGAGTGTTCATGTTCAACATATCACTTGCAAATGAGTTACCATTCTTGCGTATTTGAAATATCCTCAAAATTAAATACCAATTAATGTACATACAGTTGAGTGATACGCCTTTTGTTTTTATTTTAATGAAATCTTCGTTGGTGAAGGCGTATTTAGTATAATAACGAAGCGCAGGTGTATTTACAGTATGCGCATAAGGACATAGCCTTCACGGGAGTGATTAGCGAAGGTAATGACGCAATCGAAAGGATGCCTCGTTGCACTATGAACATGACGGACACAGAAAGAGGACAAAATATACAGTTCCTCATTCTACCCTCAACAATTGCTGTGGTAGACAAAGGAACATCCCTTCACTGCTTTTTTATGTAAAAATATGTAGAACAGGTGAATATGCATGTGACACCTTTTCTACACATTTTTACATAACAGCAGTGAAGGTATGTTCCTTTGTCTACCACAGCAATTGTTGAGGGTAGAATGAGGAACTGTATATTTTGTCCTCTTTCTTTGTCCGTCATATTCATAGTGTAATAACGCAATCGAAAGGACGACTCGTGTGAAACAGGTTTTAAACGCACCCTCGTACGAAATGTCTTGAAGAGATTTGAGAGCTGACTCTTTGGAACCCACGATGATGTCGTAGAGGTTGTTCTCCACTCGGATTGTGTAGGCGAACGTGGCGAAGAGGAGACGAATGCCTCCCTGTGTAGCGAGGTCGAGTCGATCTATGAACTGACGCAGCATGGCGCGCTTTGCTTCAAAATCATCTGTTCCTTCGCTGCCTGTATGTCAAAGAGAGAAAGCAGTTTCAATTAATTGTTTTATTTTGTGATCTTTATTTATTATTTGTTAAGGGGTCTCCAAGATTCTGGGTCGAATATTTCAAATTGGTTATTACATTTTTTTTTCTCTGAGAGAAGAAAATAATAAAAATTGAAATAACCAATTTGAATTTGAAGTAAAGAGACTCTTTACTTTCATTTCTTCTACTTTACAACCCTGCAACTTCTGCTACTGCCACTACTTTATTCTACTACTGCTTTATTATTAACTATTCTAAATTTCTGGTACTTTAACCCACTCTTCTCTCTATACAACTTTTAGTTCATCCTCGACTTCTACTTTTACATCTACGTACGATTCTACTTCTATTTCTCATTCCATTTAAAATACTTCTACTTTTACACGTTATGCTTCTGATTCTGTTCATACAAATAAGTACAATTTCTACTACTTACCCATATTTTTTACTATACTTCTAGTTAACTTGTAGTATACCTTTACTTCTATAATTATCTACTCAAGATACTCATAGCCTATTCCTATTTCCACTTTTACACGTTTTGCTTCTGATTTTATTCAAACAAATAAATCTACTTTGTGCGTCACGACATTGACGTATTAGACGTAAACCGAACATGATTTCTATTGGACTAGAATACCGTATTGAAATTGTCCTTGAGTTGATTTTTCGAAAATATTTGAGATCGTGTTTCGTTTTTGCTTCTGACATGATTTCATTCATACAAATAAGTCTGCTTCTAACGCGATAGCAACTACCTACGCAAAATCAACCTCAGGCAATAAGCGAGTTCGTAATTAGGATTTGCGCATGGGCACATAAAGGTCATTCGTACCCAAATTGTAAAACCATTGAGACGAATACTCGGATCGTGCTCATGAAAGCTATGTAATCAGTATTCATTTATGCACCAACAGTACATTTATCTGATACATAAGTGGAAGTATTCTTCTCAAGAGGCAAACAAAAGGTATCCATGAAGCACCTCCATCACTTCAGCAGTGATTAATCTAAAATGCACAGGTGGGAAGTATTCATCGTGTCTAAGATCTGTGGATATTTTGGGGGTCATGCGATCCAGAGCTATTTACGAACTCGCTTATTGAAATGTGCGTCACGACATTGACGTATTAATCCGAACATGGTTTATATTTGATGTAGAATCTAGAATACCGTATTGAAATTGTCCTTGAGTTGATTTGTCGAAAATATTTGAGATCGTGTTTCGTTTTTGCTTCTGATTTTATTCATACAAATAAATCTGCTTCTAACGCGATAGCAACTACCTACGCAAAATCAACCTAAGGCTATTGTAATAGCCTTGTGCGCCACCTGTTGATTTGACAAGGCGTATTAGTTAATCCGAAAACATGATTCCTGAGGGATGTACAAATACGGTATTGCAATTATCCTTGAGTTGATTTTTCGAAAAAAATTGCGTTCACGTTTTTCTTCTAATTCAAGCCTTTACAAGTCTACTTTTACTACAACTTATAAGTCTACATCTACTTAAGATATTCTTACAATGCTACTGAATAGACCCCTACTTCTAATTCTGCTTCCACTTTTACTGTTACTACTCATAAAACTGTTATAATTCTCCCACTACCTAATACCATTTCTATTTCTACCCCTATTTCTACGCCCATCCTACATCTACACCTATTAGTATTACAATTTCTCTCCCTGATATTCTACGACTATACTCCCATTATGACCGCTTATAATGCTGTTTCTATAATTTTCTTCTTCTTTATTCATTGTCTCACCCCCTCCCCCCTCATTTTTAAATGGTCTGTATTAATTTTGTTCTCCTTAAACCTAGTTCCTTTAATTCATGGTGTGTGTTTTTTGATTTGTTAGATCGATTTCCTTTACTACTATCCTCCATCGATAATTGCTATTTAAACTTTTATTCTTTCTCCATTTTCATTTTCTTCCTATCAATATAACTACAATTTCTTATTCATTCTTCTCATGTTCCTTCTATATTTTTGATTTAATTAAATACCTGAATTATCGATAAGAAACACCACCTCAATACCATCACCGAGGTGAGATCGAGATTGGCCGTTGAGGGCTCTCTCTTCTAAAAGTTCTTCGGCGGTTCGTGGCGTCTCGGCGTTTGCTGAGAGGAGAATCAATATTTCATTTATCAGCGGAATTTTAACACTTTCATTTGAAGAAAAAAATCTACTGTATGTAAAATCTGTAATTAATTATCATCAAAATTGACAAGCTGACATTATTCGGAACACAGCCAAAGGCAATTAATGAAAGGTTGTTTTGTTTTCAAATTATTGAAGCCGGAATCCTTGTATCAATTGAAATTATTGAATATGCATGGGTTTGTTGATTCGAAAATGATGGGCATTATCCTGATGAATCAGAATTCAAATTCATATTACGGTTGAGAAAAGAATGAGCGATCTGTCGTCGCCATTTATAGGAGTTTGAAAATCTAAGGGAAATTAGGACAAAATTAAGAAAAATGGACTTACCAAGAAAAAAGTCACCCCAGCTTACGTCCAGTTCTGGAAATAGTATCAAAGTCGGAAGATTGGAATGAAATTATTTATCAACATCTACTTAAGTAATAAATCATGACACAAATATTGGTAATCCAAACTGCATCAATTAAAATGTATTTAAGATGGCCTCCCTTCCTAAAATTAACGGAAACGGTGACGGGTATCCTTCTCATCATGGAAGGAGGGATACCCTATCTTACCTAAATCCTTCTCCCATTGTGTATTCACCCATCAAATGTGCCCCCCCCCCCCGGCCCCTCGCCTGGCTACGCATGAAGGAAAAGAAAAACAAGGCACTCACACACAAAATAATGTTAACAAATAACTGTTTTAAAAAGTCAATAAAAAAACGCCGTCCTTGTCAAGTACTCATTTCGACAGACGAAATTTCTCGAAATTTTTTTTGGGGGTGGGGGGGGGGGGTATGGAAGGCTAGAGAAGGCTCGGTGCGAATGACGAGAAAGGGAAAGGCACATGTTACCTCACATGCTTTTACTCACAATCAGATTAACCCGCAGTCACGAACTCTTTCACACGTTTTATGAGGCGCGCGCGCCGGAGGGAATGTCAAACTGTAGGGTTTCTAAGTAATTCTATTTTACAATACTTTGTGCTAAATCGAGCGGGAATTGCAGACGGCAAGTAAATCCTTAAAGGCGATCGAAGAAGATGGGGAAAAAAGGTCGTAAATAATATGTGGTCAAGTAATGGTATTTGAAATAGAGAATCTGTAACCTTGAAAGAAAATGAAAATAAAATTGCAAGTGAGTAGCTCTGACGATTTAGTATTCGTGACATGAAGGCGCCATACAATAGCTAAATAAAATGGCACGAATCTCGGATATCTAAGTTTCATTTGATTACTTTCTCTCATTCACATGTTTCACATTTGGGTGGGGAAGCGGAGGTGGGCTGGGGGTGGGGTCACCTCAAACATCTAATACTTACCATGACACAGCCCACATCTAACTGGACAGTTTTGTTTCATGTACGGGATGTAGTCTGGATTGTGGCAGTCCGAAGCTCGTATACGTCTGCAACGTTGCTTCAGATCTCTGCATTCCGCTGAAAATAGAGGAAAACAAACAATTCGATTAGAGCAGCTTTTGCTTCATCGAAAAGATAAGATACCTACAACAAAAGGGAAAAGAGTAAATGATAATGTCAAAATCAGAGACAAAGAAAAGGAGAAAGAGAGAGAGAGAGAGAGAGAGTGAGAGAGAGAGAGAGAGAGAGAGAGAGGGGGGAGAAAGAGGGATAGAGAGGGTGTGATTAATTTTGAAATCGTCGTACATGTTTGAACCATGAGTTGATACCAAATCCTTATCATTATTATATTTAAATTCTGTAACATTGTAGACGCGAAGCCTGGAGATTAGGCCTATATCAAAATAATAGATGAGAAAGCGTTTTGCATTGGTATTTTATGCTACCATCATTATTCTTTCTGAATTCTCTTTGGGGTAAGGAGGGAAAGGGGGCTTTGACAATATTTTCTATACGTTGTAGAATATATTTGTGAAATTATATATTTACCTTGATCTTATGCCTATTTATGCTATCATTTTCCTTTTCTTTTCTATAGCATTATTGTTTTCAAAAAACTGTAAGTAATCCTAGGCTTACGTGATAGATATTGTATTTTCACATGACCTCCATACTTGCTTTCAATAGAGAATAAAGTAAGCATCTAATCCAATCCAATCCAGGTATTTATAAAGCGCCAATATCTAGTTGCCTAATCAAAGGCGCTAATGAGATGTGTGAGTAAATGAAATTATTAATAACTTGTCATATACAAAAAGATTGAGATTCCCCCTTAAGCCGTATCTACATGCAACACCGCAAACCAAAATTTGTTATAACGATTATCCTGATCCAATGTTGTACAAATTGTTTTAAAAAAGATTGGTAAATCTGATCATATGATTTCTTTATGTAAAGATATTTTGTCATACTTATTGTTGTAAGAGAAGAATTGTACGACGGTTTACATTTAAGTATATGTGTCATCTAAAACAGAATGAGTATTGGAATAAATTAAAGACGATGACTTGTCTTGTGCAAAAAAAAGGGAAATTGATAGAGATTCACCCGTCATCCTCATCTTCATTCTAACCGCAAAACCAAAAACTCATTGAAAAGATCCCAGGTGTATCGCACCACAGACAGGATCTTGGGCCCGGAGCATGTAGTATACGCTGGGGGAGGCACAAGTTTTTTTCAGAATGATAATAGTTCCGAAAGTGAAATAGGGTTCATTATTCCGAAGGTTTGTAATTCAGAAAATAAAATTGGGTTCATTATTCTGAAGATTGGGAATTCCGAAAAACGATTTAGGGATCTATGTCATAATGAACCTTTGGAAACAGGAACGTTCGGAAAACGATATGTAACCTACGATGCTTTCCACTATTAAATGAGATGCTCCGACATTTTCTCTGGCGACGAATTTCTTTATTTTGTCAAAGATATAGGTTTGATTTGATTTGATTTGATTATATTTATCACATATAAAATAAACAAATAAATAACAATATACATGATTACATGAGGAAATAACTATGGATGGGTCGCCCTTAGGGTTAGGGTTACCATTGGGTTTTATGGTATAGTCAGGGCTAGGCCTAGGTATAGTGTTGAGTTCACGTGAATACGAGTCCAGGCTGGGTTTAGAATAAGTATTGGCCCCGGATAAATTATCGCCGGAACATGTGTCGTAGATTCACATTATTAGGGACTTTTAGATTCGCACGAAGACAATGGGGATTGCTACGGTCGACGTCCTTTTAATACACTGCCTTGAATGGACGTCACACGTATCAGTCCGCGCAAATCTAAAAGTCCCTATTAAAAGCGTTGCCGCCCTCATCAAAGACATGAAAACTAGGGAGGGGTATGCTTATGTCATCCTCTTCATACTTTGCAACCATTTTGAGAGCTAAAGTAAGACAAACGTGGACAGTTCTGGGAAGAGGTGAAAAATAATTTGTGAGCGTTATCATTCTTATTATGCAAGTGTGGAAGAACATCAGATAAGACATGTTCCCTGAAAAGCATGGCTCTTCAAATGCCTTCATATTCTAAATATGGCATGTAACATCGTAAAAATCGGGGGTAGGATTTTTACGCCACGTGTTCGTGTAGTCCCATATACATCTTTCTGTGTACAGTGTTTGTAACTTCACCAAGACTTGGCCAAATTTCTCATCATTTTGATGATTCCAGAACCTTGCAATACACACAAATTCTTATATGTTAGATGATCAACCTTTTCTGGTCGATCCCACACCGTTTCTGTCACAATGCAATCGCATGACCAGAACTCAACTTCATCTTTAAAGTAAGTAATCGTCACCGGAGAATGATTTCGTACTACCACAGGTAAATTAGAATTAGAGCAGTAGCGGTTCCAGATTGGTCCTCCACGCCCCGAAACAAATTCTTCAAGCGCCCCCTCAAAAAATCGCAAGGCTCATGTAGAAAATGAATGCTAGAATCTCTAAGCCCCCCTAAAAGAAATATACATTACTAATAATGACAATAATAATAAAATGAATAAATAAATAAATAAAATAGAATAATTATTCTAGAACCGCTCCTGAATTCGAAGTATAAACACACGTGAGCCCTACCTTCACATCTAACCCCGATGTAGTTGTCTGTACACTGGCAGTAGCAATGGGTTGCATTACTAATCAGGGTTGCATTGTTAAGACAGGTCAGAGTGCACGTAAACCCGGGAGAACCAGGCCCGAACGTCTCTGGAAAATATGAAAACAACAACAAACAAATAAACACGATCACAGCTCCTTTCGAAAATGAACTCAAGGGTAATTTAAATACCCTATATTGTATGTCCCATGGATATCATATTCGGATTACATAATGCGTATAATAATACGCATATTTCAGAAGGCTATTGAAATTGACTTAGGTTGATTTTTCGAAAGTTGCTGCGATCGTCTTGAAATTAATGATAGTAATAATAGTAACAACGATGATAATAATAAACATTAATATAGCAATCATTGTACATATTCTTTCTAAGCGCTTGACATTATAAACTTAAATGAATTAAACGACTTAAGAGGAATACGTAAGAATGAGATAGAAACATACAATTACAAATGTAAGACAAAATCACAATACTAATTGAATGTATGAGTTGCAAATATTAATCAGAGAAGTGTACACAATACACTTAAATATATTTATTAAAATGAGAATGCATCGTATCTAACATGTGGTAATCTCAAACAAAATATGTATACTTATTATCAGTTTATTTTCCACAACAATAAAGAATACAAAAGTGTACGAAAGAATGAAAATCCTTGAAGGCAAACAACTGTGATATATCAAAATTTAATCAAAATCAACAAAAGAAAAGTCGTCAACAAATATTAAGGGCACTGACGAAGGAAACAATTTGAAACAGGATGGAAACAAGAATATGAATTAAATCATTGTGAAGGGAGTCAACAAGACATTAGAATAGTCTTAACTGTGCTGTCACCCAACATATAGCACCATACTTGATCTTGTTGTATTCGATTTATATAAGAATTCTCAATGTAAAAGGTAAACAAGTTGGAGTTGGAAGTGGTCAGATTCTCATCCTAGTCGAATATTACCAGGTTCCTTCCAATGAAAGGGGCACAGTATAATTTATACAATGAAAGAACTTACACATAATCCTCAATTACCTATCAGATTGGAAGCAATATAAGCTCCCAATTACAATTAAAACAGTCTCTTTTCTAGAAAGGTGAATCTAGAACTAGATAAAGAACTTTTTAGTATTACTCTCTCATAACGGGGAACGCACTCGTAATTCCTCTGATAATAAAAATTGAAATACTTTGATGAATTGCCCTTGTCATTCTTTTCTAGGATGTACATACGGGACATAAGGATTAATGTTCGTTTTTCGCAAATCACTTCGTTTTGCTACTACGCTTTCGGGAAATAGATTTAATTGAGTGATGAAATAGGTGCATCGCAAACGGACCCAAGGGGAGGGTGGGGGTATGCGCTATGAAATTGCTACACAGTAAACAAAGTGATTATTGTCAGCTGCGAAAAGTTCCCTCGTAATAAAATCACTTTCATTATGATAGTATCCGCATGAAGAGATCTTTCTTGATTAAAGTTTCAGTTTAATATAAAATCTTCACCCATTCACACTGTTATCTATAAAGAATAATAGAAAATACATTATCCGTAAAACGAAGCGTATTTTCATGTATCTATAATTAATGTACTAAACAAACATTTATGAACAGTATTAACAAAAATTAAAGTAATATATTATGAAAGTAACTACTAATTTAAACAAATTAAAAACAAACTAATATACGCGCTTGTATTACTATATCTAAGATTGTGCTGTACACTGTATTTATAAAATCATTACGTTGCCTAGGAGAAGAAAAATATTGGGTCCGCCGGAAAAGCAGTATTAATACTGATATGGCTACCCTGGGTAAAATAAGACCCAATTATTATTTTGTTATTAGAGGCTTTCATGCACAAATCTGTGTTGGTTGTTACTACTGTGATTGGTAGCTGACAAATAAATGATTGAAGTGTGCGACGATGATTTTTATAATTTAATCTCGTAAATCCTAAATCTGGATAATATCGCACATGTCATTGCATGATTGTTGCAACAAGTAATTCATTCATTAGAATACAATGGGAATCAATCTCATGTAAATGTATTGTACGAACAGAGAATTATGCTAATAGAATGCGACAAAGACAAATTTCCGTTCATACTAATCCTATTCTATCAATCTAATTATCCCAAAGATATACATATACTTCAGAAATGTCCTTATACAATCAAAGAAAATATTTAGTGTTCTATTATACCCTCTTTGGCTTTGAGATCCTCTATATATATATATATATATATATATATATTATCATTCAATTCCATTTTCATTCTTTTTGAATTGATAAACAAAATGTTCATTTTCACTGCGCCTGACAGAATATATATAAATATGACGATTCAATTGTCTCCATCAGTAAGAACGCTCTCGGCCTGAACCTAGTTTACGATTTATTTTCACAGTTGTAAATGTAATGGGCTTGTTGAATAAATGACTTGTTAAATATTAGCGGCATGTATTTGGCTAAAAAAAATATACATGTATCTTGGTGAAATAATCAAAATGAAAGAAACGAACAATGATAATTTTGTTCTTATAATAGAAGTTTGTTACTACTTGATCACTTTCTTGTTTCGATTAATAATAATATACATAGTTAAACTTGCTATTTTGGGAGATAGGTGTAAAACACATTCAGGGGGTTAGTTATAATTTTCGGTGGTGATGGGGATTTATATATATTTTGTAAATGATCGTATGAGTTGATCCTCGTTCCCACTTTTTTCCTAGAGTGGGTATCATCATCATCATCATCGTCGTCGTCATCATCTCTCTCTCCCTCCCTCTCTTTTTTTTCTCTCTCTCTGTTTATCATGCAGGGCCCCTATGCGAGGGCAAAACGTGTACGAATAATTTATAATAGTTGTAATAATAATGTTTATAATAATAATGATAATGAAAATATAAATTTTATTTATGATGATAATAACAATAATACAAAATTATTCATGATCATAATAATAATAATAACAATTATAATGATAATGATGTTAATGATAATGATAACAATAATGATAATAATGGATAATAATAATTACAATGGTAACAATGGGAACTTATGAACGCTTGAAAAAAATCTCCCCATATGATCATAACAATCATCATAGTATGCATGCCACACGTAATACAACGTCACGTAAGACACGAGTAAACACCACACACACACACACAGCGCTAAATATACTTTGCTTTAACAGCAGGAGCAATATCTAATTAAAACTAGCGATAATTTTGGCAAGCATTGTCCTGATGACGCAAATAACGATACTTTCCCTTTTTTATCACTTGGTTTCACACAAAAATAAAACTGCTTACTATTTCAAATAGTGCTTATTCTGACAATCGCATAATCCTTGCAAACACATCTTGGTCAAAATAGGTGTGTGTAACTTTTTTACAGACGTGTATCAATCAGATATGATTATTTACGTCTGAGGACTGACCTTTAACGTCACCATCCGAAAGACGTGTTAAGAATAGGGTTAATATAATCGACTTTTATCAAGATCATTTACAGTTAATCAATAATGAGGAGGTTATTATTTTCAGGACACGAACAATAGTGCTTGGTTTTACACAGAATTGGAGACCAAAACTAATTTGTGTTCAAAATTATTTTAGAATTGTTTGTTTTCTATCTCGTATGGGAAAACATGGTAGAAGTATACATGATTATAATCATCTGTATAATTGCTGTTGAAATGATCGCATATTGAACAAGTAACTAAAATAGTTTGTCCCTTCCGACCCAGAAATATGGACAAATATTTGTTCAATCACATATGCTTTTTTTTTGCGTGCAGTGGTTTTCAATATATATGACATTTATATTTTGTTTATTGTGTTGGAATAGAATTCCGAAAAATATTTCTATAATAGTAATATCAATTATATTTATAATAATAATAATAATGACAGTAACAATAATGATGATAATGATAACGATAATAATGATAACGATGATAAAAAACAATGATACTCTTGATAAATCAATTGACAAATGAATGAATTAATCCATAAATCAATCAATTAATTAAAAAAAAAATCATATTAATTAAAACTTACCACAGCTGCCGCACATTTCGTGACATTTGTCGTAGACATAGGATTCAGTAAAACATTGTTCATATCGGTAATGCGAGCCTCCGTTGAGCTTTGTGACGTCATACTGACATTTCTTGACGCTGTTCTGGCACATAACTGAAAAGATAAAAATGAGATAATTAAAGATGCATCATAGATCTTTAATCATCTAAATCATTTGATAACAATATGTATCCATATTTGTAGGTTTTACATTACTGTTATGATTGCTGCAATTAAGTCAAACTACACAAATGCACAGTTAGTATTTGGGGGGGTAGTTGATATTGGTTAACGAAGTCATATACAGAAAGCGACACATTGTGTGTGGTAATCGCCTATCAAAGTTTCTGAAGCATTCAAAATGTACTAGAGGCTATGGAAAAACAGCAAATTCCAGCATTTCAGAATGATTGATATATACAAAATGACTTTGTAAACTGCATGAACGGACTTACAAAGTACTGATTAGTATCCTAAAAAGACCAAACGTCAAATAATGTATCTGCATTAGACCATGCACTATGAACCCAAAATGCGATACTTTGACCCCCCCCCCCCCCCCCCCCCAAACCCCACATATATTCTAACACTGGTGAAAAAGGTGGGATTGCCCGGCTAATCGCAGGACACGTTTTGACAAATACTTTCGGCTGTAAAGGTAGTTGACATGACTTAAAAATGTTTGACATAAAAACAGAAATGTCTCTCACCTTCGCACTGTTCCCCTTCCCATCCCTTAGCGCACAGACATCGACATTCGTGCTCGGTGTTGACCAGCGTACCGCCATTGACGCAGTCCTTCAAGCAAACTGTAGATAGGAGAGAGAGAGAGAGAGAGAGAGAGAGAGACAAGATGGTTATTTAGGCGACGTGATCCACTTGTGAAATTAAGCTAGTAGCAAGTAGCATGATCGTAACGACTTTCGGGAAATCAACTAATTAAGGAAATATTACAACACACTTTTGTAACGGGTTCTGTTAAATTACATTCACATTGATATTCACGCTCGCAAATTTGAAATGGTGACACACGAGTCTATTCACCTCATTTTTTTAAATCTTTGAGATAATGTTAAATGAATTTGGTTTAAATGAAGAGGTATTTGGCAAAGGAATGCTTCTACCTGAACATAACGTACAACAGACATTAGTCTGATTTTTAAGTAAGATAAGTATAACATGTTCTTATAGATAAGATATCTAGCAGCAAGTAAAGAGATCAAGTGTTATTTGTATCACAAATAAATCACATCAGTGCATTCACCGAATTCGAACAGGAAATTCATTGTGATAATAACATGCAAATAAATATTTGTTAAACTGCGATTCTTTCTAGGGTTAGCCCTTAATCAAAATGTCTTTTAACACTTACCAAAGCCAGGACAACCCGGTCCGAATTCCTCTGTTTTAATATTGAATAAGAAATATTAATAAAAACAAATGTCAGTCAATGCATATGCTAATCACGTTCACAAATTAGCTTGATACAACGGACACGGATGCCCTTAAAAAATGTGCGGTTTTACTGCTGCTAAAAGTAAAATAAAATAGAAAACGTTCGAGAAACAGTTTAAGAAAAATTCTCAATGTAATATCACAGTTTAGCCTATCCCTGTGTAATCACAGTATACATCTTCACTATAACTCAAGATACAGATAGATTAGAACACAGGCGCAAAAAGGATTTGTCTTTGAGTCTCATTTTTCCAATTTTGCTTGCCCATTTCTCGATCATAAAAATGTGCACTAAATGTAACTTACCACATACCCCACACATAGCGGGGCAACGACGAATGACTGATTGTGACGTAGCACACTGATCCACGCCCCAACTCTGGCAGTTTGTAGTGGTATCCTCACACTTATCTGTTTCAAAACAGAGAGTTGTATTTTCCATTTGATTTTGATTACTTTTTCCAAATAATATTCTACCATACACTGAATATTTGTTTCTGACAGAATGCACCTTATACGCCTCAAAACAAAAATTAATAATAATGATTTGCTTTCAGATCACTGTATACTTACTTTTTCACGAATCAATGGATAAATGATACAAGTAATATCCATTTGAAAAATAGATCTTGAATTTCGAACTTTGAAATGTATGTGTAGTATGAGTTGGTGACTGTAAAATTCCTTTAGAAAGTGCAAGTTGACGGAGAAATTTAATTAAGGTCATGTAGGAGAAACGCGAGAATAAAATTCTCGTTCATACATGTATAAAGCCTTATAATTACATTTCAAAATGTTGCACTACTTCACAGTTTAGCTTCTAAAGTATTGTGACGTCATAAAGGGTTTGTTCTTACGGCACAGGCCAGACAGATACCCTCTACTGCATAGTTCATTGTGACGTCATTAAAAGTTCGTGTTTACGCGTCCTTACATCCGATGCGCGCTGCGCATTCCTTTACGCGCATTCCACTGACCTATTTCTGGCTCAAATGTAAACAAATGCGCAGTGCATCATGGGAATATCGCTTTATCACCGAATGTGCGCTGAAAGGCAATCTCGCATATCTACGAAACATCTTTTCAAAATAACATAGAAATGCTTTGCGTTGAATATTTGCAATCTCTAGATATTATTAACATTTTACAGAGAAACGAACAAGCAAACACATTTTCTCAAAAACATGTAAAAGGATAAATTTCGTATTATTATACTAAGCCTTCTATCTTTTTTGAACCTTCTTATCGGCATCAGAACTTGCATTATAAGCTGGTAATGAAAACGAAAATGTTGATATTATGTATGGAAAAGAACGTAATAGGACAGAGCAATATAAACAGACGACAAAGAAATCTTACCTTCGCAAAGTTCGCCGAACCACCCACTAGCGCACTCACAGGTACAGGTTACTGCGTTCACCGTTCCTCCCGGTTCGGAGCAGCGAAGATCACAAACTGTTGGGAGCAATAAATATTCAACTCAAAAATTCAAGACCATTATTTTTAATCAATAAATGTTGTATTCCATGACGTAATCATGTTCTCTATTAAGACAAATGCACACATATAATTCTATACATGACAGATTTCGCAAATAATAACTACATTTACTTTCTGGGAGCGTTTCACAAAATTTGTCATCAGTGACAAATGACAGTTTTTGTAATAAGCTACTGAAATCCTCGCTTCTTATTTGTTTATCAGCAGATTTGTCACTGATTTTTGTCATTTGTCATTGAAAAAAGGCATTGTGAAACGGGTCTCTGGTATACAGTGTTAATTGTCATCAGGGTCATGAAATGACATGTAAAATAAAATAGTGACTGGACAATGAACAAAATGGAATTGATCGAAATGATTTACAAACTCCGGATGTTTTCCAGAGTCGCTGATCTTTCTAAGATTTTTCATTTCCTATCCGTATACTTACTGAAACCTTCTGACCCGGGTCCAAATTTCTCTGCAACATGAATTAAAGACAACAACATATCGGTTAATCTCAATATGATCACACAAAATCATGGACATGCTTGATGACTGTCGCCTTTACGATGGATCATATCCCTATGCAACGTGTCAGAGAAACATTAGTCAATATAATGCTTTTAAAATTCAAATATGATCGACTTTTGTTGTTTTACTTTTTTTAATGTAAATTATGTACCAAAGTTATTACTATTTTGTTTATTTTGTGAGGATTATTGTTAACAAGCCATTTATGCTTTTCATGATCCTCTCACTTCACATATTTCATAATATTAGTCTACATTTTGAAGATTATAATTATATTATCATTTTTTTTTTATCTTGCTGTGGAAGTAAATAAATGAAATAAAGTTTTCATCATGTTTATATTATATTGTCTGATATTATCTTACCACAAAATTCGCACGTGGCTGCACAATTCTTCCGAACAAAATTCAAATACTGCGTGTTGTTACAGAGGTGTGCATATCCCTTACAGGCTGTCTCTCCTCGGTCGTCTATACACTTATCTGAGTTAGGGAGAGAGAGAGAGAGAGAGAGAGAGAGAGAGAGAGAGACAGAGAGACAGATTGAAATCTACAGTTAATGTCTTGGCTCACAATTTATAACAGGTCGGTGTTACAAATTAATTCGACACACAAATTCGCTAAAGAATCGTTCATCTCGTTGAGATGATGCCGCCAAACCACGACCTTATTGTATATGACGTAAAGTGCAATACACCTCACAATCCGGGATCTTATGACCTAGAGTTCAGTGAGCACTCAGTCCCTTGCTGCCCGCAGCTGCCATTCACTTTATCCACAATCCATGATTTTCCATATTCTACACGCATTTATTCAGATCAATAGGTACCATATGAACGTCCAAATTTCAGAATACAAATTGGTGAAAATGTATCGTCGAAATGATTCCGGCAATATCGCAATCTCCGAATTCGATGTCGGACCGGAATGCTGTACGAATGAAAAAAGGCATACAAACAAAGAATCCTTAATTCGCGCACAACAGCTTACAAATAATTTTTATGCACACAAAAAGGCGACCCATCAAAAGTAAGCTAATTTTATAAACTTCACGGAAAAATATCAAACAATCATTTGGTATAACTTTTAACTTACAATTTTAAAGACATATTCTCTAAAAATTAAAGACTTTCAGACCCTTGTCGGTAAGTTCATATTTTTTTCGGAAGGGACGTGAAAGACTGCAAAAATTGTCAATATTTTCACAGCCAAACTCTTCTTTTGTCAGTATGTAATTTAATGTTCCCCTTTCCATTGGTAATATCAGGTTTTCGAAATCTAACCGATTTCTTTAGATATGCAACTGTCCGCGAATTATGGTCACGCGCGAACTATTGTCTCACCGTCATAAATTTAAAATTATTGTCAGTTCCTTTTTTAGTTTCTTACCATCACATCGATCACCGTACCATCCACTGCTACAAAGACACTCACACGTCTCCTCGTCAGCGACACCGTGTTCGCACACCAGATCGTCATCGCAAGCAAAAGCCTGTGAAAAAAAAACACAATCGAAAAGATAATCGAACGAACTTAATGTTTCAACCTACTCCTCGTCAACGACACTGTGGACGCGCACCAGATCGTCAATCGCAAGCAAAAGGATGTGAACGAAAAGCACTATCAAGCAGATAACTGATTAAACTTATTGTTTCAAACTACTACTTTCCTCACAAAGGGGACAAATGCACAAAGATTGACCAATTTGTCAGCTGTCTTGAATGGTCTCTATAATTTAGCGATAATGTATTATGGGTAAAATACCATCACATTTCGATTACGTTAAAAAACAAACTGAGACTGCAAATGATTGGTCCAGTAAGTATACTATACCTCTGAGTTTAGTGCAAACGCCAAAATAGAAACGATGAGTATTAACTTATTTAAACAATTCTTCATGACGAGAGTTCTTAGTAAATTTCAGTTTGAGACGGGGGCCTTAAAGGCGGACGTTTTGCAAACGACAGCTACAAAAAGTTATCTGGGAGTGGAAAGTAGTTGATATGACACGGGCTTATTTAAAATTGAAATTAAACTTGGTCCAACGAGCTCCAAGCTGTCACATTATTGACATCAAATAATTATGACGATGGATATTTTCCTTTATTTTATGATCCTCAAGAGTGAAGGCGTAAATTCGACTTTTTCACCCTGGCTGGCATTTCAAAGTTTATTTTGTAGATGTAACAGCTTCGGATAACTTCATTCGGCCACCAGTACATGGTGTGTCAACAAAGTGCAGTGACAACACTTGCATATCGCATTAGCAGTCTTAATTAGATCCGAGTCTAACAAATAGCACTTTGTCAGTTTGTAGACAACGTGTTTGATTTATTGCTTCCTTGTAAATTGCCTGTTACTTTTTTATTTCTGGAAATGTGAAACGTTTCAGTTTTTGTTAACAAAGTAAATAAGAGAGAGGGGGAGAGAGAAGGGGTAACAGAAAGCAGTGAGGATGGAAGAAAATTAGAGTGGAAGAGAGAGAGGGTTGAGGTGGGAGAGAGAGAGAGAGAGAGGGGGAGGGGTAGACAATTAAAAATAGAAGCAAGAGTAGAATGAGGGGTAGAAGGAGTAAGAAATTGAAAAGATAGAAAGAGAGAGAAATAAAAGGAGAGGAAGGGAGGTGGGGTGGGAAGGAGAAAGTGGAAGGAGAGGGAAGGTAAAGAGAAGATAACAATTTAGCGATATAAGGGAAATGTGGTGTAAAAGAGAGAAAAAAGGGTTGAGCGTTTGGGGGGAGTCGGGAGATAGTCGAAAGATGATACGCAGATATGGGATAAAGAGAAAAGAGAGGAGAAAAGTTGTATTGTTTGAAGTATGAATATTTAATTAGGGATTTAATGATATGTCTTGATAGAGTTATCCTCCCAGTACATTTAGGTACCATTTTCATTTGAATCCGTTCATGCATGACTGAACATTCAATTCAATTCAATTCAATTCATTCATTTTTCCTCTTTCAATCGTTCCTATTTACAATGATGGTACATTTTAACATATTCACATATTTCTATACATATAGATAAATTTGCACATTACAATACATTAAAAAAGTAAACATGAAGTTGAAAGGGAAGGAGACAATCTTTACAAGACTGCCAGATTTCACTTGCGCCAACTTACTGGGTGATGACTAAAACAGTGCATGGAACAAAGACAGGCAGACAGACACACAGACACCCACACACGCAGAAGCACAAACACACACACACACACGCACACACACACAGACAACAAACACGGTTACAAATGTCTCAGAATTTTTTTTTCTTTTCTGATTAAGCATTGATTTTTATCAAGATCCCTGAATGTTTAAGTGGCATTTCCCTGACAATCTTTCCCTTCAGTACACATCCACTACCACCATATCATCATCATTGTCATCATCTTAATCTTAATCATAATCATCTTCATCATCATCGTCATCATGAAGTGCACGTGAATCCAATGCGCTATCTCAATACGTAGGTACATTAACATTCATTGTTGTACCATAATAATATGCCTAAAAAAATACCAAAATTGTTTGTGTTTTTTATTAACCGACGTTTGCGGTATTTGCGTGTGAGTGTGTGCCTATGTGCGTGTGCGTGTGTGTGCAAGTGTGCGTGTGTGTGTGTGTGTCTGTCTGCCTGTCTTTATTCAATGCACTGTTTTATTCCTCACCCAGTAATTTGGCGCAAGTGAAATCTGGCAGTCTTGTAAGTATGGTCTGAGGTTCAGTCATGCGTGAAGGGATTCAAATGAAAATGGTACCTAAATTTACTGGGAGGTTATTTTGAACATATATAGGCCCTTTTGTCTCGCACTTTCACTCGATATTTCTCCCCTCCCTCTCTTTCTGACCTTTGTCTCTCTCTCTCTCTCCCTCTCTTTCTCTCTAACCTCGTCGTTCTTTCTCTCCCTCTCGTACTCCATAAGACACAAACACACGCCTACAAGCCCCCTATCCTCTTTACCCTATCATTGTTTTCTCTCTCCACCCATTTCTAACACTCCCCTCTATTTGCATTTGTATATTCTGTTTTTTTCTTTCTCTCTCTCTCTCTCTCTCTCTTCTGTATCTTACTTTTATTGGTTTTTCTATCTTTCTCCCTCTCTCTCACACTCTTTTGTATTCAGAGGTCTTCCTCTCCCATAACACTTTGTGTGAAACATCATACCTTGCCTGGAGCCGTGTACTCTTTCTGGTAATCCGACCTCGTAATGGATTGCGACCATTATAATCCCACATTTACATTTAGTTGTCGCGTATCTCATAAAATACTAAATTTCTTGCATTTTTGAAACAGAAAATTTACGCTATTGTTAACTTTACACATGTCTTCTTGTAAAGCCAGGAGATAGACATATAGACATATAGATATGTAGATAGATAGATAGATGGATAGATAGATATGTAGATAGATAAATGGATAGATAGATAGGCAGAAAAATAGATAGACAGGGAGATAGATGAATTGTCCGAGGGACATTAAAGGTAGGCTACGTCCCATTTGCAGACCCAACAAATGAAAAGGTTAAATTCCAACAGCATTTGAAAGATAATACTAATTTAGAACTTCCCTTTAAACAAAAGGGCTTGAAAATGCCTTTATGCGGAAAAAATAACGACCGTAAGTTGTCGAATCGAATTTAGCGAGCGCGCTCGTTTATTTAAATAGTCTGATTCTCAGACCCTTATCCTAATTGTCGTACGTTTTGTGCTGTGCAATAAGTTTAATTTTGGCCATTACTAGAGGTTGGTTATTGATGTAGGCGAATGATCATGTTTTCCCTTAACAGCTCATTTTATGTATGTTATTAGCAAAGAAAAAAAGAAATGATCAGGAAGGTCCAAGTCACAAGATTAAAGCTCCAATAAATCCGCCCGTTGGTCGCAAGCTTAAGTCTAGGAAGCTTGGATCTCCAGATAGAATCGACTCCTCACCCTTGACCCAACATGACCCCATATATAATGTATGTTACTGATTATGATAAAGATTATTGAAGGTGAATTAGGAGACTCATTTCGATCGCAAAGGCTCTCTACGATACCTTGTCCGTCTGCGAACATTACAACCATGTTTTATTCTCCTCTTTGAGTACATGCGTATGATGTAATTCATGCATGTTTGTATCTCGTGAAAAAATATGATGCATGGAAGCTATATTTTAAGGAATGATGAGCTATATGATTGTTAAAAGTAGAATGTTCGAATTTGTTAACATTAAACATTGTCGAATTGTTTCTACAGTATTGATAGAAAAACACGATAGTTTATGTAAGCCTAAACTTTGTTTCATTTGTAACCTGATTATCATATAGGCAGATAATAGTATGCGCAACGTAATTTCATAATTTTATCATATATTTATGTAAAGATTTTTATTTATAGAATTTGTGATTTTCACATGGCACCTTTGCAATAAATTGAACACAACGCCAAGTTCCTTGTTTTGCTTTCGATTTATGTGTTTCCTGGCTTTTGAACCCATGTGTGGGTAGGGTGGAGTAAGCCTAACGGGTGTGGGTCTTTAAAGCGAGTCTGTATGTGCATACTACAATGCAACGATAAAGTTTCTTTGCTCATATTTTGTTTTGGAGTGTCGAGCATGCGTAGTATTATTACCTCGAAGTATATTGTATTAGTTTGGCATTTTGATAATTTCCCATAATTCCTCTAGATTATTTTAAAGCGTTCAACTCGATTGAGGAAATAAAGACTAAAAGAAACTTGCTCCATTGTTGACTTCACTTGCTTGCTTTGATGGGCTGATCGAAACATATCGAACTCGACCTCGTGGGCATGTCTTATAATTCATTTGTTTTAAATCAGTCATTCGGCATCTGATCTGATCTTGATTTTGATGAGGATGAGGATGAAGGCCTTGGTGTTTTGTACCTTAGTGATCATAATCGCCCTGAGCATGAGAGGTAAGTCTTACTGAGAGACAGCTATTTGGGCACACGAATACTGCTTTGTTGAGCAAGAACGGAACTAAAGAATATATCTTGTGTCCAACGGTAGCACGTACCCGCCTCTCCCCATCTAGTGGTGGCTAAAAAGACAAATAAAAGTCGAGAAAAGGGAAAATGGGAGAAAGGACAAGGGTAAATTGATGGGAGAAGGAGGCGCTTAGACCATCTGCAATAAGGCGGCGTCCGACCCTCCCAAAATCGTTAAAATTTCCCCGAAGCAATGGGTGGATTAAAAAAAACGCCACTGCCATGATCATCAAAAGCACATTTCATTTTGTAAATTTCACGATCATTTCATGTTGATAAAATAGCGAAGTTGAATCATCTGCAAAGGGACGCAATATCAGCAAGGAAACTAACATCTCTGGCAGGATTACTGCTTTACAGTTTCCACATTTCGCGAGCGACCGAAGCAATCGAGCAAAGATTTCGTCGCTTTATCGTGTAATGACCTGCATTGGGTCCAACAAGTGGGTTGGAGGGGTCATTTCACCTTTTATCTCTCTCTCTCTCTCTCTCTCTCTCTCCTTAATTATTTATTTCTTTAACCACCATTTAGGGCAAGGCATCCGTTGTCGTTATTGTTTGTGCATTGCGTTATTGTGTATCAATATAATTTCTTTAACTTTAATTCACAATATGATATATATATATATATATATATATATATATATATATATATATACGGGAAAAAATATACGAGATGTACAATATGATATACAATATCAGTTTCACAGTCCCAAATACGTAATGACGGTTGCCCGACTATTGGCATCCAAAAATATTCTCGGCCGGAGCCCCCATGCTCTGTACACCTCGAGCATGATTTACTTGATTTATTTTGATAAAAATAAATATTCAAGTGCACTTCAAACAACAAATGTTCAACAATGTTGGCTATACATCGGACACACTCATTGAAAGACATATCTAACCCCTTTTCAGCAAAATTAGATCTTGACTTATAAATGAAAGATAACATTGATTTTCACGGTGTATTGATGATACTTTTCCATTGTATTCTTCGATATGTTGATAGTACTGGAAATGAAATATTAAAATAAATGGGAATTGAACTGAACATTTTAATCAGTAAGACGTACCGTTACATTGGTAATGATATTAATGAAATTTATGTTATAATTGTTTTATTAATAATATTATTATGAACATTATTATTATCATAATTTGTGTTATTTTTATTAAAACTATTATTATTCTGATAATTATTTTAATACTTATCATTATCATTATTATTAGTAGTAGTAATGTGTATCTGTAGTTGAGGTCGTTGATTTAAAAAAAAGACGAAGGATTCAACGGGAATTTGTGCAGTTTTAGATTCGGTTTCTTTTATAATATAGATCTTTTATATTAACATTTAATCTGTTTTGATTCCAAGATCGATTCCTCGATTCCGTGAAAACTTAATTTTATATTCAATAGACTAAATTCAATAAACGTGTATAGTAGTAGTATTATAATTATTCATGAAAGGGAAACAAAATGTAGTCCAATTATTCTAGGCATGGATAATCTTTCTTTTTCAATATGAATTCAACATTCTTTCTTTTGGCTATCAAGTTCCCTATGTCTTTGGACTGGATATTCGTCTAATCGGAGGGCCTGACAGCTACAGTGGTCGAGTAGAGGTTGGTTATTATGGTGTCTGGGGTACTGTCTGCGATGACGGGTGGGATATTCAAGATGCAGAAGTCGTCTGTAGAATGCTTGGCTTTCAGACCGCCATGAGAGCAGTCGGGAACGCTGAATTCGGTGTAGGTTCTGGAAACATCTTACTTGATGATGTTCAATGCCTTGGGACAGAACGCAACCTTGCTGAATGCCCCCACAGGGGATATGGGATTCATAGTTGTGGACATAGCGAAGACGCTGGAGCTGTCTGCGCTAATGGTGAGATATTATACTTATTCTCATACTGGTAATGCAAAATATGGCGAAGGCAAAGGCAATTACTTCCTCGACCATGTCAACAGCAGTTTGTAGTTCATGATTGTCGACATAACTAGGTTGCGGGCGTTATGTGTTCTGAAAACGGTATACCAATCATTAGCTTTTTAAAATAGGGCTAGCTCATCAGACCCAAATAAAAACGATGAACTATATGCATGGTATGATAAATTAAATTATAACTATATAATTGCGCGATCACATTTGAAAGATAAAAGCGTTGCAGTTCTGTCAATGAAGCACTCCGGGTATTGCTCCACTTCTGAACTGAAGTTACATCAAAGAAGAAGAATACTTAGCTCTTAGATACTATTGTTGAAGACGAACCTAAGAATATCAGGAACCGAATGGTCGAAACGAGAAGATGAAATCGTTTAGGGCGTGTCATACATTATACGCGTAAAAACGACTTTCCATGCCTTTTAATGATAATAACAATCATAATAATAGAGGTTAAAGATAAACTTGAGTTCTGGTAATTCGATTGCATTCTGAAAGAAAAGGTGTGGAATGGATCAGAAAAGTTGATCATATAGCATGTAAGTAATGGTGTGTAATGTAAGGTTCTGGAATCATCAAAATCATCATAAATTTGGCAGAGTCTTGGTAAAGTAACAATCACTTACACAGAAAGATGTATATGGGACAACACACATGGTGTCGGGGCTAGTACTATACCCTGATTTCCTTATCTTTCTATGCTCATTACTCAGCCAGTATACATTTTCTTCCAAAATTGTTTGGCACATGACATTTATTTGTAATCTTGAACATTCAGTGTAAGTTTCGTTAGATTCTGTGAGAATTCATTTTCTTTTTTTTTTACCAGAACTCAAGTTTATCTTTAATACTCATGTTTCTTAGCGCTGTACAATAATTACCCCGGCACTATTCAAGCGGCCTTGAAATGTCGTTCCGCCCCACCATCATTGCAAGAATGTCTTCCTACAGGGAACCAATTGAGCTTACATCACCTGGGTGGGGATCGAGTATCAAATGCAGATTAACGTGTTGTCAAAGGATGTTAGCGTTAAGGCCCGGTCACACAGCCCTCCACGGGCGTATCGCGGCCGAATCACGGCCAAAAATTTCTGCCCGTGAAGCAGACGCTGTTGGACGCTTTGAGGTCGCGATAAAGACGCGATACAGCCGTACTTTACCCGTCGTTTTACGCGGTTGGCCGCGCGAAAAAGTTTTGGGCTGCCCAAAAATTTAGACCACGGGTAATCGCGGGCGGTACACGTGGTACACACGCGGTAAAGACGCGGTACAGACGCGGAACGAACGTGCTAAGACGTGCTACGGCCGCGGTTAAGACGTGGTTACACGCGGAATTGGACGCGAAATTTTAGCGGGTAATCGCGGGTGGAGCACGGTCATAGCACGTTTGTTCCGCGTCTGTACCGCGTTGTTATCACGTGCATTAGCGTGTGTACCGCGTGTAAGCGTGGTAGGCCGCGGTACCGCCGCGCTTCACCCGCGATAAGGACGCGGAACAGTCGCCGGCGTCTGTTCCGCGGGTATACCACGGGTAAACCGCGGGTAAGCCAATTTTGCACATTTTCCACCACGGGAAACCGCGGGCAAAAAAAAATCGCGAAATTTTACCCGCGATACAGACGCGAAAGGCTGTGTGGCCGGGCCTTAACAGTGGGATTCCAACTTTTACTGTTTACTCAAAAACAAAGGGGAGGCAATTTGGAGCGTTTTATCATTATGCATCTAGTTAAGACAGTTTTTATTATAGTTAGTATTATAACCTAAATACCTACAACTCCCGCCCCATCATTTATCTAATCTTTTATATAGATCAAAATCTGCAAGTTCGTCTAGTTGGTGGACGGACCGCCTTAGAAGGTCGCGTTGAGTTGTTCTTTGGAGGTTCTTGGGGAACAGTTTGTGATGATCTCTGGGACTTGAACGATGTCATAGTTGTATGCAGAATGCTTGGCTTTCAGAACGCAGTGAGAGCAGTCATGAGCGCTGAATACGGTGTAGGTTCTGGAAGCATCATTCTTGATGATGTTCAATGCCTTGGGACAGAACACAACATTGCTGAATGCCCCCATAATGGATATGAGAGTCATGATTGTCAACATATCGAAGACGCTGGTGCTGTCTGCGCTAATGGTGAGATATTATACTTATTCTCATACTGGTTATTCAAAATATATATAGCGAAGGTGGAGGCAATTTCTTCCTGGATCATGTCCACAGCAGTGGACTGGAGACTGAGCTAGGAGAGTGCAGTCATAATGGGTTGAATTCACAAAGGAGGTTTGTAGTCTGAACAAACCTGGTTTAACTTTGTTAATTCAAGCCAATGGGATTGAAGTTAATAATTATCACTGTAACGAGGATGCGGTCGATGTGTGGTATAATAATGGGTTCTTGTATAGCGCTCATGTCTGTCAGATTTGACACTCCTGGCGCTCCCGATTGAAAACGGTATGTATACCAATCATTCTTGTTTAAAGACAAAGTTGAGTTCCGGTGTTGCAATTGCATTGTGAAAGAAACGGTATGGAATCGAACATAAAAAGTTGATCATCTAGCACATAAGTATTGGTGTGTACTGCAAGGTTCTGCAATCATCAAAATTATAAGAAATTTGGCCCAGTCTTGGTAAAGCCTTTACAAAAAACTGTACACAAAAGATGTATATATATATATATATATATGGGACTACACGAACATGTGGCATAAACATCCGTCCCGATTTTCACGTTGTTATAATGCCATATTGAGAATATGAAGGTTTTTGAAGAGCCATGCTTTTCAGGGAACATTTTTATCTCTGATGTTCTTCCACACTTGCATAATATCAATGATAACGCTCATAAATTATTTTCACTCTTTCCAAAACTCAACCTTCTTTTTACAAGACTAGCTGATCAGACCTCAATCAATACGATGAACTACATGCATTGTAAAATAAATCAAACTGAACTATTAAATTGCATGGCAACATTTGAAAGATTAAAGCGTGGCAGAATTCCGTCATTAAAGCGACATTGCTACGCTTCTGATCTGAAGTTACATCAAAGAAGTAGAATACTTAGCTCAAAGAGGCTGTTCACACCGCAATGAGATAGCGGGGTCTATCGTAGCACCCCTTTTTTTCTAGCGCGCGCTAGACCGCGCTATCTCTCGTGGACCACCCCCAAGAGGTGCTCCAGTGGCACGCCGTTTTGGCTCGCCGTGGCTCGCTGTTGGGCAGACCGAAACGACGTTGTACCTTCCAAACCGTAGAGATAGCGCGGTCTAGCGCGCGCTATCTCTGCCGGTGTGAACAGCCTCTTAGATGCTATCGTTGAAGACGGACCTAAGAAATTTTGGAACCAAATGGTTAGAACAAGAAGATAAAATTTTCTGAGGGCGTGCCATATAGCATACACCTACGCAACGACTTTCCATGAATTTTAATGAAAATAAAAATGATTCTGTAATAACATGTATACATATACTTGTGTTTCGAAGCGCTGTACTTTAATTATTTATCCCGGCCTTAGGCGAGCGGCCTTGGAAAGGCGTTCCAGCTCACGGACTTTGCAATAATTTCTTTCTACTGGGTACTCATGTAGCGTAAATTACCAGGGTGGAGAGTGGCAAATTTAGATTAATTACGTCTTGCCAAAGGATGTTACTGCAGCAGTGGGACTCGAAACTTCTACTGTGTACTCATAAACAAAGGAGGCACGTTTCGGGAGAGATTTATCATTATACATGGAGCTGATTTAGTTATCGGTGAGCTCTAACCGGCATGTTGAGGCCAATTTATATGCAAGTTAATCATGTTAATTTGGGATAAGGAGGTTGAATAATCAGCAACATGAGGGACATGCTTTACACTTGCCCATATGTGTCTCCCATCACGGTTTGCTAATCTATTCAAACCATCTGCTTTTCAGAAGACGCCACGAGTCACCATTTTGGAGTTCGTCTTGTCGGTGGAAGTAGCAGGAATGAAGGACGGGTTGAGATGTTCTACAACTTATTCTGGGTGACATTTTGCGATGTTGGATGGGGCTTGAGAGAGGCCGACGTGGTCTGTAGAATGCTGGGGTTCACGGGTGCTTCAGAAGTGCTGAATAATGTAGCATTCGGTGAAGGAGTTGGGATGAGTGTCCTTGTGAGAGGTTTTTCCTGTCTTGGATCAGAAAACAGCCTGCTTGCCTGTACCTTCACATCTTTTGAACTTAGCAGCTGTCCACATAGTCAGGATGTCGGAGTCAAGTGCAATGATGCAGGTGATTGCTCTGTTCAGTTCTGTTCAGTTCTGTTCAGTTCAGTTCTTATTTTATTCTCAATAAAAACACATAAAGTGACTCTCACACTCTGCCGTGTAGGTCTACCCTGTGCCACCGTGCACGAAAATGTCTGCGGACGGCGGAGAACGGCGAGGGCACACGGTGGTTCGTTATCAAAGCGGGCAACACGTTAATAGGGCGTTGGCGCTTATTTACACCCGGTGGGACCCGGCGAAAGTTTTGGGCATGTTCAAAACTTCGGCCGGCTGGCACCGGCCGCAAGTAAGCGGCAAGAGGACGGTGTTGAACGGTATGAGGACGGTATGAATACGTTATGAAAACGGTCACACTGTATGAACACATTCACAACACGCTCATAACCCGTTACAGAACGGTGATGAAAAATGGAGAGCGGACTGACCGTTGCCGTTCAAATCGGGGTATTTATGGCAGTCGTGTCATGACGTCAGCAGTCCGGGGACTCGCTCACAGGACGCTCCGAGCGGTGAGGGGACGCTAAGTGACTGGTAGGTGGCTGCTACAAACCCGGTGCACACGTTCGAGACCCGGTATGGGCCCGGTATGGAAACGGCCAAAATTTTCAACAAAAGTCAATCTGGGCGGTGAAGACGGTAGAAGCACGTTCAACACCCGGTATGCGCCCGGTGAGAACGGTCAGAAGATGGCAACGAAACGGTTAAAAGATTAATTTTATGAATTTTTTTTTGCGGCCGGGGACAAGTTCGCTCAAAACCCAACGTTCTGGACGCTGTTGTTTTTTTAATAGCCCAGCAGGTGGACGGTAGGCCTACACGGCAGAGTGTGAGAGCTCCATTACATTTTACACAACACCTAGAGTAATACAATGAAGTTCTTTGCGATAGTGTTGTATCGGGAATTCTTTCTCATTTTGTTAATGTTATCCATTTACATAATGAATTATAAACGATTTAATCAGGCACGATGGAATTGATTATAGAATATAAAATAATGTAGCCACCCCCCCCCCCACATCGGTAGAGGGGGAAGACTCTCTTGCAACTCGCGCTCACATCCCTACATTGGAGATTGAGAAAATAATTTTGAAGAATTGTTAGCGACAAGATCATAAGCACTTAAATAATATAGAATATTAAAGCTATATTTCATGTCTTATTTTTTTGTGCAGGTGCTCTGATATCGACGACCCAATTTGGCCCAACAACCCCATTGGGGCATCCAGAACATGTCTCTCAAGATACGACTGTTAGCTCAGTATCATACTCTAAGAACAGTCGAACACTCTCTCTTGAATCATTGAAAAGAATAGTCTGATTTTTCGAAAGTCTTTGCAAATGTTTTGTAGCGGGAATAATATTGTTTGGTTTTACGGTAGCCATTAAGGTACGTAATTAAGAATAATTTAATCAGGCACGATGGAATTTGATATAGAATATCTAATAATTTACACCCCCCCCTTCTTCTCCCGAGGTGGAAAAAACTCTCTTGCAACTTGCGCTCACATCCCCGCATTTGAGATTAAGAAATTAATTTTGAAGGATTGTTAGCAACAAGATCATAAGCTCTTAAATAATGTAGTATTATTATATTGAAGCTATATTTCATGTCTTATTTTTTTGTGCAGGTGCTCTGATATCGACGACCCAAGTTGACCAAACAACCCCATTGGGGCATCCAGAACATGTCTCTCGAGATACGACTGTCAACTCAGTGTCATCCGCTGAGAACAGTCGAACACTCTCTCTTACTGATGCTCTGATATCGACGACCACATTTGACAAAACAACCCCATTGGGGCATCTGGAACATGTCTCTCAAGGTACGACTGTCAACTCAGTGTCATCAGTTGAGAGATGTCCAATGCTCTCACTTGTTTCAATAGTACTTGGAGCCATCTTGGCCGGGTCGTATACACTCTTCCTGCTTGTAGGCCTCTACGGCTGCTATCGACTCAGAAAACTGGAGAGAACTGAAGCGGCGTCCGGGTACCTGAATCCCACCATTGGGGGAGAACGGGTTTACACAGAGATGTCGTTTACGAAGGGAAATGATCAGGAAGGTCCCAGTCGCAAGTATAAAGCTCCCATAAAGCAGCCCATTGGTCGCAAGCCTAAGTCTGGGAGGCTTGGATCTCCAGATAGAAATGACCCCTCACCCTTGACCCTACATGACCCCATATATGATGAATGTGACTGACTATAATTATTATTGAAGGAGGGTTAGGAGGGTTAGGAGGACTCATCACGATCGCACAGACATTTGAGGAATCAGCCGAAGGCACTCTCCGATACATTGTCCATCTGCGAGCATTACAATCATGTATTACGTAATCCTAACACGATTCTCATGAGTATAATAAGGTATTGAAATTGCTCTTGACCTGGTTTCCCGAAAGTCTTACCGATTATGTTGTCCAGAAATTATAGTCGGACCTGTTACAAAAAGCTCTATCGCGGGATAATTTCCACGTAGAATCTGGATACAATAAGAATCTCTAAAAATGGCTTGGATTTCAAACAAGGTTTCTTGAGAGGAAAGTGCTTAAAGCTACTCTTGAACAATGGTATGGGCATCGTATGTCGAGATACCATGGCTGTAATTAATTCTGGATATTTTTATCATGCAGTAGAATCCTGGATGCCGTTGCATAAAAACGTTTTTGGAATCATAGATATGTATTTTAAAGCCAAAATAGATCACTAGATTTAGTACTCAATTAAATTCGATTCGCATTTATTTCATTCTCGATTAAAAATTACATTGATACAAAAGATACAAAATAATTCATTAAACAAATTTATAAAATGAAATGGGGAACTACATAAATAAAGCCCCTAGGCCTTGTACAAGCGTCGTTCCCAAGGCATTCATAGCATAATGTAAAGCAAAAATAAACAAAAACAAAAACAAGACATTAATAAAAAAAAAAAGCAAAAACAAAAGGACATAAAACACAAATATAAATAAAAGATAAATAACTATACATATTTGAGATAAAGTAACTGCTTTTACTTTTATTTGATGGCATTTTAAAGTATTTGGAGTGCATTGTAAATAGATATGATGTATTTGAAAAAAAAAACATTGCTTAATTGACTTTAAACGTAGTGATTAGTTTTTACAACAGTCAACTTCATCAGTTCTTTGTAGTCGCAACATTTTTGTTTAATGATAGGATTTTAAAAACGCGCACTATGTCGGCGGGTGGGGAGGTTAAAGAAAATAAATGTTTAGACAGACATTGATATGACAATTATGATCACGCACAGGCATGTATATATATAAAGCACAATATTCTTCTCTTTAAGTACATTGTGTTTAATGCAATACGGACATGTTTGTATCTTGTGAAAAAATATGATACGTGGAAGCTACATTCTAAGGAATCATGAGCTATTGTTAAAAGTAGAAATTGTTTCTACAGTATTAATAGAAAACGTGATATTTTATGTAAGCCTAAACTTTGTTTCATTTGTAACTTGATTAGCATAAAGGCAAGGAATTGTTTTATTGTTTGCACATAATATGCACAAGGTAATTTCATATCATATATTTATGTAAAGATTTTTATTTATAGAATTTGTGATTTTCCCATGGCACCTTTGCAATAAATTGAACACAACGCCAAGTTCCTTGTTTTGCTTTCGATTTATGTGTTTCCTGGCTTTTCAACCCATGTGGTGTGTATGGAGGAAGACAATGGGAGGGTGAGTATAAGGTGGGTTAAGCAAGTGTGGGTAGGGTGGAGTAAGCCTAACGGGTGAGGGTTAGTTTAGGAAGGGTGAGGGCGTAGTGAGTAGGAGTGTGGGTTAAAGGGTGGGGTGAGTGGTAGGTGCACGGGGATTGGAGGAGTAGAGAGGTGTGGGTTAGTTTAGGATGGGTGAGTGTGTAGTGAGTAGGAGTGTGGGTTAAAGGGTGGGGTGAGTGGTAGGTGCACGGGTATTGGAGGAGTAGAGAGGTGTGGGTTAGTTTAGGATGGGTGAGTGTGTAGTGAGTAGGAGTGTGGGTTAAAGGGTGGGGTGAGTGGTAGGTGCACGGGTATTGGAGGAGTAGAGAGGTGTGGGTTAGTTTAGGATGGGTGAGTGTGTAGTGAGTAGGAGTGTGGGTTAAAGGGTGGGGTGAGTGGTAGGTGCACGGGTATTGGAGGAGTAGAGAGGTGTGGGTTAGTTTAGGATGGGTGAGTGTGTAGTGAGTAGGAGTGTGGGTTAAAGGGTGGGGTGAGTGGTAGGTGCACGGGTATTGGAGGAGTAGAGAGGTGTGGGTTAGTTTAGGATGGGTGAGTGTGTAGTGAGTATAAGTGTGGGTTAAAAGGGTGGGGTGAGTGGCAGGTGCATTGGTATTGGAGGTGTAGAGAGGTGTGGGTTACTCTGTAATGGGGTAGGGTGGGTGAGTGGTAGGCAAGTACGTTGGTAAGAGTAGGTAAATGTAGTTTAAGTTGGGACAAGTGAAGATGGGGGAGGGGGGGTGGGTGGATTAATAGGGCGCTTGTGGATATGAGGTGTATGGGTATGGGAAAGGGGTGTTAGGCATTAATGGATGTAGCAACGGAACCATTGGTGTGAGTTAGGTGTGTGAAATGTGGGAGAGGGAGGGGGGCCGGTGAATGTGGATGGGTGAGAATGAGGTACTGTGGGCGATATTGTGAGCGAGGGAAATGGATTCGTGTGAGTTTGCTTTGAGTCTATTTTAGGGTAGATTAAGGAAGGAAAAAAATCCCAAAACTTCCCTTCTCTGCCCCCCCCCCTCTCCCTCCCCCTCTCCATTCTCTCTCTCTCTCTCTCTCTCTCCAATAGTCTCCCTTTCTCGCTATCTCTCTATCTCTCTCTTTCTCTTTGTACCTCATACATCCCGTTTAAAAGGACTTACATAATTGCAAATTAAAAAAACACTATTCGTTTTGTAAAAGATTAACCTGCATTTCGCGTGCTTTTCAAGGAAGAACTAAACTATATTTTGATGCATGCATCTGATAGCATGCATGGTTGATATGAAAATTTCTTCAGAAACTTAAAGACTTCAACGATGTATAATATACATTTAAAACGTTTTCGTCATTTTAAAAGTAACCAATTTTGCGGGTACGATTTTATTAGATTTATAGTATGTTGTTCCTGATGTCAAACAATACCGGGAAAACGTTGTAAAACCTTTTGTTGCAATCGTCGGTCAATACCCTAATATATTGACACGAGTACTTGTTGTTGTCAATCTGCTATGGCTCTTTGTTTTAATTTTTAAAGCGAGTCTGTATGTGCATACTACAAAGCAACGATAAAGTTTCTTTCCTCATATTTTGTTTTGGAGTGTCGAGCATGCGTACTATTATTACCTCTAAGTATATCTTAAGTAGTTTGACATTTTGATAATTTTCCATTCCTCTAGATATTATTCTAAAGCGTTTAACTCGATTGAGGAAATAAAGACTAAAAGAAACTTGCTCCATTGTTGACTTCACTTGCTTGCTTTGATGGGCTGATCGACACATATCGAACTCGACCTCGTGGGCATGTCTTATAATTCATTTGTTTTAAATCAGTCATTCGGCATCTGATCTGATCTTGATTTTGATGAGGATGAGGATGAAGGCCTTGGTGTCTTATACCGTGGTGATGATAATCGCCCTGAGCATGAGAGGTAAGTCTTACTGAGAGTCTTGGTTATAGAATCCTATCAGCTATTTGGGCACACGAATACTGCTTTGTTGGGCAAGAACGGAACTAAAGAATATACGCTGTCTTGTGTCCAACGGTAGCACGTACCCGCCTCTCTTCCATCTAGTGGTGGTTAAAAAGACAAATAAAAGTCGAGAAAAGGGAGAATGGGAGAAAGGACAAGGGTAAATTGATGGGAGAAGGAGGCGCTTAGACCATCTGCAATAAGGCGGCGTCCGACCCTCCCAAAATCGTTAAAATTTCCCCGAAGCAATGGGTGGATTCAAAAAACGCCACTGCCATGATCATCAAAAGCACATGTAATTTTGTAAATTCACGACCATTTCATGTTGATAAAATAGCGAAGTTGAATCATCTGCAAAGGGACGCAATATCAGCAAGGAAACTAACATCTCTGGCAGGATTACTGCTTTACAGTTACCACATTTTACAGTTACCACATTTCGCGAGCGAGCAAAGCAATCGAGCAAACATTTCGTCGCTTTATCGCATGATGACCTGCATTGGATCCAACAAGTGAGAATGCAGGAGATGGGTAACATGGTGCGGAAGGGGTCGTTTCACCTTCTCTTTCTTCTATCTCTCTTTCTCTCTCTCTCTCTCTCTCTCCTTAATTATTTATTTCTTTAACCACCATTTAGGGCAAGGCATCCGCTGTCGTTATTGTTTGTGCATTGCGTTATTGTATATAAATATAATTTCTTTAAATTTAATTCACAATATTATATTGTATATATATATATATATACGAGAAAAAAATATACAAGATGTACAGTATGATATACAATCTCACAGTTTCACAGTCCTAAATACATGACAGTTGCCCGACTATTGGTATCAAAAATTATTCTCGGCTGGAGCTCCCATGCTCTGTACACCTCGAGCATGATTTAGTTGATTTATTTTGATAAAAATAAATATTCAAGTGCACTTCAAACAACGAATGTTCAACAATGTTGGCTATACATCGGACACACTCATTGCAAAAAATATATATAACCCCTTTTCGGCAAAATTAGATCTTGACTAATAAATGAAAGATAACAATGATTTTCACTGTGTATCGAAAGATAATTTTGCCACTGTTTTTTTCGATATGTTGATAGCACTGAAAATGAAATATGAAAATAAATGGGAAGTGAACTGAAAATTTTAATCAGTAATAAGTACCGATATATTGGTAATGAAATTTATGTCATTATTGTTTTATTGATAATATTATTATGAACATTATTATTATCATAATTTGTGTTATTTTTATTAAAACTATCATTATTCTGATAAATATTATAATTATTGTAATAGTTATTATTATCATTATTATTAGTAGTAGTAATGTGTATCTATAGTTAAGGTCGTTGATTTTTTTAAAAAAGACAAAGGATTCAACGGGAATTTGTGAAGTTCTAGATTCGGTTTCATTTATAACATAGATCTTCTATATTAACATTTAATCTGATTTCAACATCGATTCCTCGATTCCGTGAAAACTTAATTTTATATTAAATAAACTAAATTTAATAGACGTTTATAGTAGTATTATTATCATTATTCATGAAAGGGAAACAAAATGTAGTCCAATTATTCTAGGCACGGATAATCTTTCTTTTTCAATATGAATTCAACATTCTTTCTTTTGGCTATCAAGTTCCCTATGTCTTTGGACTGGATGTTCGTCTAATCGGAGGGCCTGACAGCTACAGTGGTCGAGTAGAGGTTGGTTATTATGGTGTCTGGGGTACTATCTGCGATGACGGGTGGGATATTCAAGATGCAGAAGTCGTCTGTAGAATGCTTGGCTTTCAGACCGCCATGAGAGCAGTCGGGAACGCTGAATACGGTGTAGGTTCTGGAAACATCTTACTTGATGATGTTCAATGCCTTGGGACAGAACGCGACCTTGCTGAATGCTCCCACGGTGGATATGGGATTCATAATTGTGGACATAACGAAGACGCTGGTGCTGTCTGCGCTAATGGTGAGATATTATGATTAGTTTCATACTGGTTATGCAAAATATGGCAAAGGCATATACCAATCATTATCTTTAAAAAAAATAGGGCTAGCTCATCAGACCCAAATAAAAACGATGAACTATATGCACGGTGTGATAAATTAAACTATAAATATATAATTGCGTGGTGCGTTTTAATTAAAATTAAAGCGTTGCCGTTCTGTCAATGAAGCACTCCGGATACTGATCCAAATGGTCAAAACGATAAGACAAAATCGTTCAGGGCGTGTGATACATGAAACGCGTAAAACGACTTTCCATGCCTTTTAATGATAATAGCAATCATTATTAATAGAGGTTAATACTCATGTTTCTTAGCGCTGTACAATAATTACCCTGGCACTATTCAACCGGCCCTTGGAAAGTCGTTCCGCCGCACCATCAGGCCTAAAATAAAAACTTGTTGCATTGCCCTTTGCGACCGACCCAAAAATCCGAAAATCTACGGTCGGCATTTTAATTATTTTTTTTTTTAACCGTGGGTGATTATGAGGTGAAAAAAGATATCAATGAAAAGATGACGTTGAAACACATGTATTAAAGCATTAAAAACCGAGAAATATCAGCCAAAAGAGAGTTGGAAAAAAAGGAGAAACAAAAAACATTCAAATCTGAAAAGTATCGGCCCAAAGAGGGCGACAAAAAAAAATAAAAACTTTTCCGACTGACCGACCCATGTTTTGGCACCCAAAGGGCAATGCAACAAGTTTTTATTTTAGGCCTCATTGCAAGAATGTCTTCCTACAGGGAACTCATTTAGCTTAGATCACCTGGGTGTGGATCGAGTATCAAATGCAGATTAACGTGTTGTCAAAGGATGTTAGCGTAACAGTGGGACTCCAACTTTTACTGTTTACTCAATAACAAGGGGGGGGGGGGGGGCAATTTGGAGCGTTTTATCATGCATCTAGTTAATTCAGTTATCGGCGAGCTCTAATTGGCATATTGAAGCCTATTTATACTTAAGTTGCTCATGTTATATTGTGACGAGGAGGTTTCTATCAACATCATGTTCTATTAAGATAAGGATATAAAATCAATTTTTTGTTGGGTGGCCGGTTAAGATCTCAAGGATGGCGACCTTCTTCACACCTGTAATGTATAGACTAGTAAGAAAGCTCAGGGGATGATAAGAAATGAAGTCAATACACGCAATTAAGCAGGCAAACATATTCTGCCATAGCTCAAAATCACATTGAAATGCTTAATAATAACATGGGTTCTTGTATAGCACACATGTTTGTCAGACTTGACACTCATGGCGCTCCTGATTACTACCCTGGCTTTAGCATGGCTACCATTACGGCGCTCTAGCATTTCAAGGAATGAATTACTGCCAGGTACCCATTTACATCACCTGTGTCGAGTGTGGCAAATGTAGATCAATATCTTGCCAAATGACATTGGTGCCGCGGTGGGACTCGAACCGCGGACCTTGTGATCGACAGTCCAGTGACATATCCACTCGAACACGACACCTCTATACATGTTTTTTTTTTTACAGTTAGTATAATGACCTAAATACCTACAACTCCCGCCCCATTATTTATTTAATCTTTTATATAGATCAAGATCTTCAAGTTCGTTTAGTTGGTGGACGGACCGCCTTAGAAGGTCGCGTTGAAGTGTTCCTCCAAGGTTCTTGGGGAACGGTTTGCGATGATCACTGGAACTTGAACGACGCCAGAGTTGTATGCAGAATGCTTGGATATCAGAACGCAGTGAGAGCAGTCAGGAGCGCTGAATACGGTCAAGGTTCTGGAAGCATCATTCTTGATGATGTTCAATGCCTTGGGACAGAACGCAACCTTGCTGAATGCTTCCACAGTGGATATGGGATTCATGATTGTGGACATAGCGAAGACGCTGGAGCTGTCTGCGCTAATGGTGAGATATTATACTTATTTTCATACTGGTTATGCAAAATATAGCGAAGGTGGAAGCAATTTCTTCCTGGATCATGTCCGCAGCAGTGGGCTGGAGACTGAGCTAGGAGAGTGCAGTCATAATGGGTTGAATTCACAAAGGAGGTTTGTAGTCTGAACAAACCTGGTTTTTCTACAAATTTCCTTTGTTAATTCGGGCCAATGGGTTTGAAGTTAATAATTATCACTGCAACGAGGATGCGGTCGATGTGTGGTATTATAATAATTATAGTGGGTTCTTGTATAGCGCTCATGTCTGCCAGATTTGACACTCCTGGCGCTCCCGATTGAAAACGGTATGTATACCAATCATTCTCCTTTAAAGACAAAGTTGAGTTCTGGTGCTGCAATTGCATTGTGAAAGAAACGGTGTGGAACCGAACATAAAAAGTTGATCATCTAGCACATAAGTATTGGTGTGTACTGCAAGGTTCTGCAATCATCAAAATTATAAGAAATTTGGCCCAGTCTTGGTAAAGCCTTTACAAAAAACTGTACACAAAAGATGTATATATATATATATATATATATATATATATATGAATATTCATATATATATATATATATATATATATATGGGACTACACGAACATGTGGCATTAACATCCGTCCCGATTTTCACGTTGTTATAATGCCATATTGAGAATATGAAGGTATTTGAAGAGCCATACTTTTCAGGGAACATTTTTATCTCTGATGTTCTTTCACACTTGCATAATATCAATGATAACGCTCATAAATTATTTTCACTCTTTCCAAAACTCAACCTTCTTTTTACAAGACTAGCTGATGAGACCTCAATCAATACGATGAACTACATGCATTGTAAAATAAATCAAACTGAACTATTAAATTGCATGGCAACATTTGAAAGATTAAAGCGTGGCAGAATTCCGTCATTAAAGCGACATTGCTACGCTTCTGATCTGAAGTTACATCAAAGAAGTAGAATACTTAGCTCAATAATGCTATCGTTGAAGACGGACCTAAGAAATTTTGGAACCTAAGAAATTTGCTGAGGGCGTGCCATATAGCATACACCTACGCAACGACTTTCCATGAATTTTAATGAAAATAAAAATGATTCTGTAATATACTTGTGTTTCGAAGCGCTGTATTTTAATTATTTATCCCGGCCTTAGGCAAGCGGCCTTGGAAAGGCGTTCCAGCTCACAGACTTTGCAATAATTTCTTTCTACTGGGTACTCATGTAGCGTAAATTACCAGGGTGGAGAGTGGCAAATTTAGATTAATTACGTCTTGCCAAAGGATGTTACTGCAGCAGTGGGACTCGAAACTTCTACTGTGTACTCATAAACAAAGGAGGAGCGTTTCGGGAGCGATTTATCATTATACATGAAGCTGATTTAGTTATCGGTGAGCTCTAACCGGCATATTGAGGCCAATTTATATGCAAGTTGATCATGTTAAATTGGGATAATGAGGTTGAATAATCAGTAACATGAGGGACATGCTTTGCACTTGCCCATGTGTGTCTCCCATCACGGTTTGCTAATCTATTCAAACGATCTGCTTTTCAGAAGACACCACGAGTCAGCATTTTGGAGTTCGTCTTGTCGGTGGAAGGAGCAGGAATGAAGGAAGGGTTGAGATGTTCTACAACTTATTCTGGGTGACAATTTGCGATGTTGGATGGGGCTTGAGAGAGGCCGACGTGGTCTGTAGAATGCTGGGGTTCACGGGTGCTTTGGAAGTGCTGAATAATGTAGCATTCGGTGAAGGAATTGGGATAAGTGTCCTTGTGAGAAGTATTTCCTGTCTTGGATCAGAGAACAGCTTGCTTGCCTGTAGCTTCACTGTAGCTTCTTTTGAACTGAACAGCTGTCCACATAGTCAGGATCTCAGTGTCAAGTGCAATGATGCAGGTGATCGCTCTGTTCAGTTCTGTTCAGTTCAGTCCTTATTTTATTCTCAATAAGAACACATACAATTTTTGCACAACACCTAGAGTAATAAAAATGAAGTTCTTTGCGATAGTGTCGTATCGGGAATTCTCTCTCATTTTTAAAAAATATGTTATCCATTTACATACTGAATTATGAACGATTTAATCAGGCACGATGAAATTGATTATAAAATATATAATAATGTAGCCCCCCCCCCCCCCCACCTCAGTAGAGGGGGAGGACTCTCTTGCAACTCGCGCTCACATCCCTACATTGGAGATTGAGAAAATAATAGTGACGAATCTTTAGCGACAAGATCATAAGCACTTATATAATGTAGAATATTAAAGCTATATTTCATGTCTTACTTTTTTGTGCAGGTGCTCTGATATCGACGACCCAATTTGACCCAACAACCTCATTGGGGCATCCAGAACATGTCTCTCAAGGTACGACTGTTAGCTCAGTACAGGCGCGTACGCCTGTATTGAGCTTTTTTATATGTATGTTTTGTGTATGTTTTTTGCGAAAAACCCCCCCCCCTTTTGATTTTTTTTTTTTTTTTTTTTTTTTTTACAGATTAAAAAAAATTATGCCAAGGGCTGACCTAAAAATGGTAACCTTACCCCCCCCCCCCCCCCCAAGGGAGCAAAATGTCAAATTTTCAAATTTCGAGACAAAAAAAAAGTGTCCGCTTACCGCTTGAAGGATTGTTAGCAACAAGATCATAAGCTCTTAAATAGTGTAGTATTATTATATTGAAGCTATATTTCATGTCTTCATTTTTGTGCAGGTGCTCTGATATCGACGACCCAATTTGACCAAACAACCCCATTGGGGCATCCAGAACATGTCTCTCGAGATACGACTGTCAACTCAGTGTCATCCGCTGAGAACAGTCGAACACTCTCTCTTACTGATGCTCTGATATCGACGACCACATTTGACCAAACAACCCCATTGGGGCATCTGGAACATGTCTCTCAAGGTACGACTGTCAACTCAGTGTCATCAGTTGAGAGGTGTCCAATGCTCTTACTTGTTTCAATAGTACTTGGAGCCATCTTGGCCGGGTCGTATACACTCTTCCTGCTTGTAGGCCTCTACGGCTGCTATCGACTCAGAAAACTGGAGAGAACTGAAGCGGCGTCCGGGTACCTGAATCCCACCATTGGGGGAGAACGGGTTTACACAGAGATGTCGTTTACGAAGGGAAATGATCAGGAAGGTCCCAGTCGCAAGTATAAAGCTCCCATAAAGCAGCCGATTGGTCGCAAGCCTAAGTCTGGGAGGCTTGGATCTCCAGATAGAAATGACCCCTCACCCTTGACCCTACATGACCCCATATATGATGAATGTGACTGACTATAATTATTATTGAAGGAGAGTTAGGAGGACTCATCGCGATCGCCAAGACTTTCGAGGAATCAGCCGAAGGCACTCTCCGATACCTTGTCCTTCTGCGAGCATTACAATCATGTATTACGTAATCCTAACACCATTCCCATGAGATATGTATGTATAAAAAGTTATTGAAATTGCCCTTGAGCTGGTTTCCCGAAAGTCTTACCGATTATGTTTTCCAAAAATTATAGTCGGACCTGTTACAAAAAGCTAATTTCCACGTAGAATCTGGATTCAATAAGAAACTCTCAAATGGCTTGGATTTCAAACAAGGTTTCCTGAGAGGAAAATGCTTAAAGCTAATCTTGAGCTCTGGTATGGGCATCGTATGTCGAGAGACCATGGCTATAATTAATTCTGGATTTTTTTTTTATCATGCAGTAGAATCCTGGATGCCGTTACATAAAAACGTTTTTGGAATCATAGAGATGTATTTTAAAGCCGAAATAGATCACTTGGTTTAGTACTCAATTCAATTGGCATTTAATTCATTCTCGATTAAAAATTACATAAATACAAAAGATACAAAATAATTCATGAAACAAATTTATAAAATGAAATGGGAACTACATAAATAAAACCCCTAGACCCTGTACAAGCGTTGTTCCCAAGGCATTCATATCATAATGTAAAGCAAAGATAAACAAAAACAAAACAAGACATTAATAAAAAAGAAACAAAAAACAAAAAGACATAAAACACAAATATGATGTATGATAAAGATGATGTATTTGCAAAAAAACATAATTGACTTTAAACATAGTGTATAGTTTTTACAACAGTCAACTTCATCAGTTCTTTGTAGTCGCAACAATTTTGTTTAATGCTAGGATTTTAAAAAAACGCGCACTATGTCGGCGGGTGGGGAGGTTAAAGAAAATAAATGTTTAGACAGACATTGATATGACAATTATGATCACGCACAGGCATGTATAATTATATAAAGCACAATATTCTTCTCTTTAAGTACATGTGTTTAATGCAATACGGACATGTTTGTATCTTGTGAAAAATATGATACGTGGAAGCTACATTCTAAGGAATGATGAGCTATTGTTAAAAGTAGATTGTTTGAATTTGTTAACATTAAAAATTGTCAAATTGTTTCTACAGTATTAATAGAAAACGTGATAGTTTATGTAAGCCTAAACTTTGTTTCATTTGTAACTTGATTAGCATATAGGCAGGGAATTGTTTTATTGTTTGCACATAATATGCACAACGTAATTTTATATCATATATTTATGTAAAGATTTTTATTTATAGAATTTGTGATTTTCCCATGGCACCTTTGCAATAAATTGAACACAACGCCAAGTTCCTTGTTTTGCTTTCGATTTATGTGTTTCCTGGCTTTTCAACCCATGTGGGTGTATGGAGGAAGACAGTGAGAGGGTGAGTATAAGGTGGGTTAAGCAAGTGTGGGTAGGGTGGAGTAAGCCTAACGGGTGTGGGTTAGTCTAGGATGGGTGAGGGTGTAGTTAGTGGGAGTGGAGTGGAAGTAGGAGAGTGGGGTTAAAAGGGGGCTTTCATCGAAAGGGTGCGGTGCGGTGCGGCGCGGTGTGGTGTGCTCAACGCACCCATTCGATAAAAGAGGGGGGGGGGCTTTTCTCGAAAGGGTGCGTTGAGAGCGGAGTACCGTTTTAACACACCCTTTCGATGAAAGCGGGGGGGGGGGGGCTTTTCTCGAAAGGGTGCGTCGACTAGTCTTTCGCATCAGTCGTTTAAAATGAGGATCTCGGACAGAAGGTAATAGTTGCCAATTTAAGTATATCGAAAATGTATTAAATAAAATGGAATGGTCTTGATTACAGAGTGGTCTCTTTCGTTATTACTATGTTGATGGGGGAGACAGAGAGAAGGAAAAAAGGGAAAGGGAAAAGGAAGGTAAAAGGAAAGAAAGAAGAGGAAGAAGAAGAAAAGAGGGAAACGGGGGCAAAGGGCTTTTGCCTCCTCCCCCCCCCTCCCCGCCAACAAATAAATAGGAGAGAGGGAGAGAGATAGAGAGAGAAGGGAAAGGGAAAGGGAAAGAAAATATAAAAGGAAAGAAAGAAGAAGAAGGAAAGAGGGAAACGGGGGAAGGGCGAAAGGGAGAGAGAGAGAGAGAGAAGGGAAAGGGAAAGGGAAAGAGAATATAAAAGGAAAGAAAGAATAGGAAGAAGAATAAAAGGAAAAGGAGGGAAACGGGGGCGAAGGGCTCTTGCCTCCTTCCCCCCCCCCCGCCAACAAATAAATAAGAGAGAGAGAGAGAAGGGAAAGGGAAAGAGAAGATAAAAGGAAAGAAAGAAGAGGAAGAGGAAGAAGAATTTGTGTTCTGCCAGTGTCACAAATAAATATATAAATATGCTCATCTGACGATAATTTGATGTATAAGACCCCTCACCTTCTTGGGGCTCCGCCCCTTGGATCCAACACCAATTTGTGTCCTGCCAGTGTCACAAATAGATATAAAAATATGCTCATCTGACCGTTATTTATTGCCCAAAACCCCTGAGCTTCCGGGTGCTCCACCCCCTGGACCCCACGCCAATTCGTGACCCCTGTGTCACAAATAAGGTATAAAATAATAATAATTTAATGTACAAAACTCCTGAGCTTCTTGGGGCTCCGCCCCCTGGACCCAACACCAAATTGTGTCCTGCCACTGTCACAAATAAGGTATAAAATTATGCTCATCCGACGTTAATTTTGATGTTTAATACCCCTGAGCTTCTGAGGGCTCCGCCCTGTGAAAAAAAACACGTTAATTTTTACCGTTTTGGGGAGATAGCCCCCCCCCCGGCGTTCAAGAGGGGGGGGGGGGTACGATTTTTCAAATTTTCGAGGGCCCCCAAAGAGATTAGTGCTCTCTAGTAATTTCGCGACTACTCCGGAACCGCGGCAGATATAAAGTTTTTCTTTCATGAGTTTTTTCTTTCGAATCTTACGCATCTTTTGAAACATTTTTTTGTTGAAAATCGGACGTACATGTATAGTTGCGGAGTCACGTGACCTTTTGTTTTTGCATGTCAGCCCTAAAATCGCTCATTTTTGTGATTTATGTACCAAACATATAGAAATACCATTTATTCTTTTAAAAAAAGAGAAAACATTGGTTATTTGGTCTTGTTTCAAGTTAATGTGTTTGATTTTGGGTCAAAATAGTTGAATTGTGGTTAGAAATGAAATAAAACAACAAATATAATATAATACATAAATACAAATCATCAAAACAAGAGATAACATAGGGATAAACTGGCTCTTCCAACTTTGTTGTCGTATTATTATTCTAACGAATATATGTAGTGAAAAAGAACGCTTGAATATGAATTAAATATTATGATTTATGGGTAAAAATGTGAATTCTCTGACCTTGTTTGCATAAATTACCATAAATATGCATTTTCGCGGCGATCGGCTGTGAAACGGCCGAGATCTTAGGGGGACCCCCCCCCCCACCCTCAAGTCCACTCCAATCACATTGAAAAAAAGTATGACTTAAATCATCTCTCTCATCATTATACCGCTATAGTATTCATGTTTTTAATATTATTTATCGTCCATTAAACAAGTTCATAGAGAAAATACTTATCTCTCTGCAACATTAAAAAAGAATCTTCATTAATATGTCTTAATTTGTATTGATAGCCTTGTGGTCGCCAACAGTGGTGTAGGCAGGGGCGTCTCCAAAGGGGGTGTGGGGGTGCGACACCCCCCCCCCCACCTGTCAGGATATTGTCGGTAAAATTGCGCTGCCGTCAGGAAAAAGAGAAAAGGGGGAGGGGAAAAAAGAGAGGAAAAGGGAAAGAAAAGAAAAAAAAGAAAAAGAAAAGAAAAAAAGAAAAAAACGAAAAAGAGGGAGAATAGGAAAGAAAGGAAAAGAAAGAAAAGAAAGGAGGCAAGAGCCCTTTGCCCCCGTTACCCTCTTTTCTTCTTCTTCGTCTTCTTTCTTTCCTTTTATCTTCTCTTTCCCTTTCCTTCTCTCTCTCTCTCTCTCTTATTTATTTTTTGGCTGGAGGTAAGAGCCTTTCGCCCATCCCCCGTTTCCCTCTTTCCTTCTTCTTCTTCCTCTTTTTTCTTTCCTTTTATATTTTCTTTCCCTCTCCCTCTCTTATTTATTTTTTTGGAGGGAGGTAAGAGCCTTTCGCCCATCCCCCGTTTCCCTCTTTCCTTCTTCTTCTTCTTTCTTTCCTTTTATATTTTCTTTCCCTTTCCCTTTCCCTTCTCTCTATCTCTCTCTCTCTCTCCTATTTATTTGTTGGCGGGGGGGGAGGAGGCAAGAGCCCTTCGCCCCCGTTTCCCTCTTTCCTTCTTATTCTTCTTTTTCTTCTTTTTTTTTTCTTTTATATTCTCTTCCCCTTTCCCTTTCCCTTTCCCTTCTCTCTCTCTCTCTCTCTCTCTCTCTCTCTTATTTATTTTTTGGGGGGGGGGGGGGGGGAGGAGGCAAGAGCCCTTCGCCCCCGTTTCCATCTTCTTCCTCTTCTTTCTTTCCTTTTATCTTCTCTATCCCTTTCCCTTTCCCTTCTCTCTCTAACGTATCTTTTGGCGGGGGGGGGGGAGGAGGAGGCAAGAGCCCCTCTTTTCTTCTTCCTTTCCTTTTTTATTCTCTTTCCCTTTCCCTTTCCCTTCTCTCTCTCTCTCTCTTATTTATTTTTTGGCGGGGGGGAGGCAAGAGCCCTTCGCCCCCGTTTCCCTCTTTTCTTCTTCTTCTTCCTCTTCTTTCTTTCCTTTTATCTTCTCTTTCCCTTTCCCTTCTCTCTCTCTCTCTCTCTCTCTCTCTCTCTCTTATTTATTTGTTGGCGGGGGGGGGGGAGGCAAGAGCCCTTCGCCCCCGTTTCCTCTTTTCTTTTTATTCTTCTTCCTCTTCTTTCTTTCCTTTTATATTCTCTTCTCTTTCCCTTTCCCTTCTCTCTCTCTCTCTCTCTCTCTCTCTTATTTATTTGTTGGCGGGGGGGTGGGGGCAAGAGTCCTTCGCCCCCCCC